CAAAAAGCTAGACGATGTGCACCGGCCGGAGGTCGAACCCGGGATGGTCCGCCCCGCAGTCCAACGCGTTACCCCCACACCAAAGGGGTCGAGTGGGGGAGGGCGGCGGAGGGGCCCCAAGTTCCCTAGGGTCCATCTCGTGCACGTCACTGGGCGACAATTTAAAATAAAGCTATTTATAGATAATAATAACGAAAAATCCTACAAAAAGCTTGCCAAGGGCAAGGAGCGTCTTCCCTGAATTTCCTGAAGTGTTTTATGCCCTTTCCGACGATTTTTCAAGTAAAGAACGCCCCAAAAACCTCTTTTCGCTCAGAACATGGCAGCCATCGTTCCAATCAGCCTCAAATTTTTACCATCGATGGGGATGGCTATAAACTATTTTTATGGAAGTTTCCAGCCAAAAATATAGTCAATCAAAAAAGTTATGACTATAAACCAGTTTTCTGCAAATCCAGTTGGGGGTTTTGGGGCCCCTTACGCGATGGAAAGCGTGCATGGTATCGCCCCGTCGGTCCCTCACCCCTGGGGACGCCCGGCCATCTTTCCAACGGTCTTTAAAATGTAGTTTTTGGAACTAAAAAACTCTAATATGATTTTTATTCGATTCCTGGTCCAAAAGTGGTATTTTCCTATTCTCTAAAACTTTACAAATGTTTGGCATGCTTATAAAGGAGCTATAAACGTTTTTACGATCAGAAAAAAACACGTTAATCGTTATAAATTTCTAAAAAGAACATTAAATGTAATTTTTTTCTAATAACGAGCCTCTGACTAATTTCTAACTTTTTTAGGTGCAAAAATTTATGCGTTTCTACCCTCTAACACCCTAAAAGTGGCTAAATTTTCTCAAATCATTCCGCTCTCATGAACCTTACAAAAACATAACGTTGAGCCCGCGTTTCCGACCAAAATTGGTCTCATTTGTTACCCAAAAATCCCTCTAGAATCTAACGAAACCAATTTTCAGGTTTTAGCCTTTCTAATCCCTAAAAAACTAGCTTCTAGACCTCAATTTGTATAGCCATATTAGCCCCAATCAAGCCGGAAAAATTCCGCGCGACTACAGGGGCATACACAACGCCACGGACATCCCCCATCCCGGAATAAGCCCCATCCCATTTGTTTATGCCCTTTTCCACGCCCCCCCCGGGAAAAAACGGCGATAGGGGTCCCCCGGAAAAACACGGGCGCTTGAGTGTGGTGCCCCGGAGAGAAATTAGCTGAAAACGAGCCCCGCCTCCCAAATGTCCCTCTGAAAATATATTTACCTGCACGAGTCGATTTCAGCTGTGTGTATCCTCTCGGGATAGAAATATCTCGAGCTTATCCCCTCACCATGTTTTCGGGCTCATCCCGGCTCTCGACGGAAACTTTTGTTTTGCAAGTTTTGGAGAGATTTTGGCGTCATTTCGGATTTTTCGGTTTGCAAACCTCACCTGTTTCTGATTTTATGTCTCCGACGTTCTTATATATTTTAATGACAAAAAATGCAAATACCATGCAAGGAAGTGATCTTGTTCCTCGGGGAACTTTTGTTTTGCAAGTTTTCGAGAAATGTTGGCGTCGTTTAGGCTTTTTAGGGCTCAAAAACTTTGCTTGTTCTTTGTTTTCTAATATAATTCATATTTATAAACTTTTAATAAAGCTGAAAAAATGACAAATATCAACGCTAAAGTTGTTTCAAGTTTTTGGAAACGCGGGGCCTAATCGTACACGCCAGGTAATTCCATTTGCCGTGTCGAAAGGCGCGTGGCGGAGCCTTTTCTCAATTTTTCGAACTTTTCATCATCCAGAATTTTCGTTATGTTTATCTTTTTATTGTTGCAATTGTCTTAATTTTCTGACTTCTTGTTTTTCAAGAATTCTGCGAAAGGTTTGATCTCTCAAACCGCCACTTTTCATTCCCTTCCGCTTCCACTTTCGCTAAAAGCCGCCGAAGAGCCCTTGAAATTATGAAAGCCCAAAATTTTCACCCTCTCACCCCAATCTCACGAGTCCAAAGAGCCAAGACAAGACAAAAAACGCCTCCAATTTTTCTCCCACCCCAAAGATCCGCGGCCATGATAGAGCCGTCAATTTTTTTGGGGGCTCCCCCGATTTTCACGCGCGATTTGTGATAATAGGGTTTTCAATGGCGGCGGGTTGTCATATTACACGCGCAGCCACAACATACGCTCGCGCGGGGCAGCAAGAAAAAACACACGAGCGCGCGCACACACACGGGGTAGGGAACTGGAATCGGCCCATCCGAGCCTCCTGTCCGCACGCACCTTTTTTACACAATCTGTTCTCTCTGGCCGGGCGTATCATCAGGGATCATCACTTCTTCTTTCTTTTTCGCGCAGTTTGGGTTATATATTTTTCGTGGCGCCGTTGGTTGCAACGGGGATGGTGGTTTGCACGGTGTTTTAAAGGGAACTTGAGGTTTACGTCCCTAGTATAAAATTAAGGAATTCGGATTTTAACGTGTTTTACAATCTTCCGGTTTTTAAGTCAAATTTTGAACAGCTTTTCCCGGTCCTCTAATCTTTCACGAGCTTTTGCAAGCTCTTTCTTCATTTTTGAAGCCTTTTTCAACGGTTTTTTAAGCGAATTAAGCTAAAAAACTTTTTCAAGGTTCAAAGGTTTTCTTATTCAACGATTTTGGGTTCAATAATTGCTGTGGATTCTCGACGGGATTGTGCTGCCCTTTTAAAAAATTAGGAATTCAGAAGCCTTAGAAAAGTCGTGAGTTTTGTACTTCCGGAGCTCTTCGAACGTTTCCGAGTCGTTTAAAGGCACGCGGAAGGGAAGCCCTCTCAGAAAAGCTGTAGATTTTGTGATATTTCCAAATGCTTTATACAGTAATGTGGATTTAGAGGTCTACGCAGCCAAACGCGCCGGTCAACTCGTAGATCAGCGTGCCGGCGGATGGGTCGGCGGATGGTTTTGGAAAACGGCTGTCGACGGCCTCGGGGCCGGCCATTTGCATCGGGGCAGGGGGAACAGATTTGAATCTATTACACCGTGTCGACCCCTGGCGCTTCCACATTTCTGCCCGCCCTATCTATCTGTCCACTTCAGCTCGGGCTCTCGAATTTTGCGGGGAAGCCCTGGGTTGAGGAAAACAGTGTGTCAGACTTTTTTGAAAAATTTTAAATTTGCTGTACGAGGCAATACGGACAGTATATCATAGTCGTTAATGCGTAAGGGTTTGATCTTTTGGCTACGGTTTACTTTACCCCCCCCCCAGCCGGAAGTTTTTGGCTATAACTTTTTTATTTTACATTATTGTAGGCTCAAATTAAAACTCTTAGTATATTTTTCGACGCTCTATCGAATGGCGTTGCGAAAATCCCGAAAAAATAAGCGAAAATACCGACACCTGTGGGACCCTTCGGCTGTGGGGGGGTAAAGTAAACTCTTACCGATCTTTTATCACCTTGTGAACATCTGGCCCTATTTCCTGCCGATTTTTAAGGCAGTAACGGTTTTTGATTCAGTTCTTCTCTAATTTGCAACTAGAAAATCGGGTGGCTCCATATTCCCTCGCGAATCTTAATCCCGAGACCTACTATTAATGCGCCGAGGTGGATTTTTTAATCACTTTTTGAACATTTGGACCTATTTTCTGCCATTTTTCGGATAGTAATATTGTATGAGCTCCATTTTCCATGTTTTTGCAAGAAAATCTCGTGGTTTCACTTTCACCACATCATCCCTAATCCCGAGACCATTTTTAGCGTTTTGAGCCCCTCTTTTGCAAAATAGCCCATGTCATTTCCATGACCAGATCACTCCTCCAATTCTCATCGACCCCGTCAAAACCTTTTTTTTTCTCTGGCCGGGCATAAGTCACGGCTATTTGTCATTTCTTGCCGCGGCGCGGGACGACCCGGGGGTGGCGTCAGCACAAAACGGCCAATGTCTTATTCTTCGTTTTGAGGTTTTTATTTTCCACTTGGGACCAGCGGCGAGTCGATGCTCCCCCTTTCTCGCAGACAAAACATTTGGTTCGGCGCTACGTTTTTTTGGCGGAGTTGGATTTTTAATCAATGGCGTCAGTTATGGAATTCTTGCGCTTGGGACTGGCCTATAAAATCGGCCAACTCAATTGTCGAGCCCATTTTTTTTAATTTTAAACTCGTCATAAAAATTACAATTCAGTGTTCTCTGTCTTTTTTGAACATATAAAATTTTCTTGGCTTGATCTGTTAATTCTTCCGCGCTGTTTGAGCGAGAATTTCGATCATATACTCCGCTTTTTTTTTGCTTTACAACTTTATTTGATCTTTTTAAATAGTAAAATAATTTATTTTCTGTAAAAATGGGTTTTCTATAAATTGTGGCATTTATACTTATTTTCCAAGTAATAATTATGATCCTCGGTCTGCTCCCGTTATCACTTCCGCTGTTTATATAACTTTCCGCTCCCACGACATCACCACACGCCACCTCGAAAAATCAACACACCACGCCAAAATCCCAAACTCTGACCCCAGGCGCTGCCGCGGGTGACGCATTTTCCCGCCAGCCTAAAACGTGGGAAAACCCGGGCCCGGGATTTTTTGAGCCCCAGGGCATAAAGCGACAGATGCCAATCGTGCCGTTAATGCTGGCAGCTGAATTTTGATAAAACGGAGGGTGGAAATTGGGAATTAATGAATTCCCCCAGTTTTTCGGGGATACCTTTCCGGAAAAAAATTGCGTCAGCAAAATGGTGGCTATTTTGGGGCCCGAATTCTCCCGGAGGGCCCCCGGAATAGACGATTCGCTCTAGCTCTTGAATTCCGGATTGATACGGCTATTCCGGAGGATTTTTGGAAGTAGGTAGCGCTTTTTTTAGTGTCGCAGAGCGTTTCGAGAAATTTTGGCAGTGAATTTTCTCTTTCTTTTCTTCTCTTTTTCTTCTTTCCTTTGTGTATTCGTGTTCTCTCTGTCTCTCTCTCTCTCTCTCTCTCTCTCTCTCTCTCTCTCTACCTTTTATTATACTGTCTATTTCCAGAACACGACCAAAAATGACCGCCACTGAGACGCGGATCCCATTCCGACCACTCTCCGAGCGATCGCCGACTTTTGGCAACGACCCGAACCGGCGGAGCGTGCCCGCCAGGAAACCGCAGATTGTCAACGAGGTCGGTTTAAGAAAATCACATATCGTAATCCATGCTTTTTCAAGATAAAACATTAAAATAAACTTTTTCGCAAAATTAAACTCGAAGTTCCCAGGTCCACCCTGGCACGTCAATCCCGCGCCGCGACGAACGCATCCGCTCCGTGGGCAGCTCTTTCGAGGAGATCCGCGAGAGCAGCGAGGAGGCCGAGCTTGATGAGGTGGGTCTTGGGAGGTTAACATAAAACTTTGGGGATATTTTTGTCTATGTTTCATAATTTATCATTCCGCTTCAGACCCCGGCCACCAGCCAATCGGCCCGCTCACCGTACGCGATGCCGATCATCGACCTGGCCTTCAGGCGGAGCTTATCGTTGCTGCACCAACAGTCAATGTCGCCCAGGGTATGTTGAAGCCCAGAAACACGTAGTTTAAATGGGTTCTTTTGAATCTAAAACCTTATAAAAATACCTAAAACCTTAAAAAGTTCTAAAAATTTTGATGAAAAAAAATCGGCGCTTTCTGCATTATTTTAATAACAACCTTTAAATTATTTTTAAAATAAAAATAAAGCTACAGTACTTCTGTAACCTCAAAGAAACCGATAAATTTTTAGGGAACCCGCCGCCTTGGCGCGGGCTGCTTGCAGCGCGGCCTCTCCGAGCCGATGCTCCCCAGGCGCAAGTCCTCCTTCGGCGAGTACTCCAGCTCCTTGGGTAAGTGAAAAACCAGCTCCAAATAAACCTAAAAATTAGGCGTCGACACCCTCAGCCTGGCGCCGATCCCGGAAAGCGTGACCCCATCTTCACCTAACACCCAGACCGACGTCTTCAAGCAGGATAAGGAGCCCGGCAAATGCTAGGCTTTCGGAAAATCCACAATTTGCTACGTACTATTTCTTTTCAATTTTTCTACTTATCATCTACTTTGTACAATTGAAACCCGGTTTCTAAAACATTAAAACAGACAAATGTAGGTGCTTTCGCATTATCGGGGGCATTTTCCTTCGGAAAAACAATTTATAATCTAAACAGTTTCGTTTCTGCTAGGTGTTCAAATTTTGATTAAAAAGTACAAAAATATAAAATTTTCGACCAAATTTTTCAGTTTCAGAGTTTTTTTGCTTTAAATATACCTAAATTTTACTAAAAAGACGATTAAACACTTACATACGGTAGGAAAACATAGCCCCCCCCGATTGTGAAAGAACCTAAATTTACTTCTTTCTAACAGGGTCAGGCCTTTCTTGCGCTGCGGATATTCAGTTAGGTGATTATTCTGATCCTTCTTAACGTAATTTCTATTGTATTACCAAGCCCCCCCTGTATTATCGATGTAGATATCCTAAAAAGAACTATTCACAAATTGCCCGGGTAACCCTGCGTCATCTTTACTACCAAACATCCCCCAAGCGAACTTTAAACTGTGACCACACGTGTTTTGTTTGTTTGTTTGTTTTTCAGAATTTTGCCTGTCCTAATTTCTGTGCAAAATGAAATAAATGTTTAGATTACTTTAAAAGGAATATCACGACCAAAAATAGCGAAAGCTCGCGCCCAAAAATGCGGAAATTCCGCCAAAAACTCATAATCAACGTTCAGATCAATTTTAGAGTGGTGGCAACAAATAATGCGAAAAATAGCGTCGAACACTAGTACAAAAATTGACATCAATTCGAAGAAATTTACCACCAAGGTGAATCTATTATATTAGTTTAAAGGCTCGAAAAGGCTAAAAAGAGCATCTAAAAACGCAGAATTTCGGCTAAAAAATGCTTAGGACGTTGGGGACATAAGCCTAAGCCTAAGCCTAAGCCTAAGCCTAAGCCTAAGCCTAAGCCTAAGCCTAAGCCTAAGCATACGGTTCTGTTCTATTTCGCGGGGGGAAACTGTACGGGGGTAAAATATGCTTCGCCAAAACTTCTATCTTTTCGCTATTTTCTCGGGATTTTTGCCACGCCATTCGATAGAGCATCAAAAAATATACTAAGAGTTTTTGTTTTAGCTAAAAATATTGTAATATAAAAAAGTTATAGCAAAAACAAAAAAAACTATTGAAACTGGTGCCGAAATGTTAGTTTTCGGCATTTTCGCCAGTTTTTCTATATTTTGAACCCGTCATTCGATAGAGCATCAAAAAATATACTAAGAGTTTTAATTTCATCTAAAAATATTGTTTTATAAAATAGTTATAGCAAAAACAAGTTTTATACGGTGTTTCCACATGGGATCGTGGAGTCGAAAGCCAGTTTTCGACATTTTCGATATTTTTTAAAAATTCCTTACATGCCATTCGATAGAGCGTCAAAAAATATACTAAGAGTTTTAATTACAATTCAAAATAGCTTCATATAAAAGAGTTATAACAAAACGAAGAACATTTTCCCCCCCGCACAGTTTTTTCCCCCCCGCGAAATAGAACAGCACCGAATAACGGTTTAGAAAGCTTTGGCAAAATCGTAGAAACTAGATATCTCGTAAAACAAACAAAGTCCAAAAATTTCGAATTTTTGTGATAAAAATAACAATAAAATTTAGAAAGCTAATGAAACAACTAAACAAAATGCATCATACAAAAAAGTCGACAACAAACGCCCAAAAATGTTTATCCAAAAACACGAAAAGCATGTCAATCCCAAGCCAAGCAAATGGAGCATAAGGTGTACTGTAGCTCGTCCACGGCAGCGAGAAACCGGAAATTCTGGCTCTTCCGCACCGACGGCTCGGCTCAATAGCGTCTGGCGCGGCTGTTGGCCTGGATGAAGGAGGGGTCGGTGAAGTCGTAGATCTCGGAGCCTGTAACAGGAATGATCCGCAGAATTAGGTAGGTTATACGGATTCTCACTTATAATTATAGAACGCTACTCGGCGTTTTATCTTAGATATAAATTTCTATCGACACAGCTGACCGTCGGTGCGCGCGATGCACAGCTGGTAACATCTCAGAGGGAACCCGCCCACCCAGCCGATCGACTTGCAGGCGATGTAGAGGAAGCGCATCTGCACGTACAGCAACAGGGCCAGCGTGCTCTGATAAAACGCTTTGTGCTATTGCTAAGCGTAAAAACCTTGTAACATGTTATTAAAACTACAAAAAATATTGATTTATCGACCAAAAATGGCCGAATTTTAGACCAAATTTCGGCTTTTTCAATATTTTTAAAAGTTTTTCGATAGATTTTCTAGTTTAAATATAGTTATATATTACTAAAAACACTACTAAAACACTGTCTATTGACATTTTCAGTTTCGTAAAAAGTTAAGTAAAGTAAAAAGCAAAAAAACACGTACAATCCTGACGAAAGACGGCAGCAGAAAGTGGGCACCGCATGCCCAATCTGCCCAGACGTCCAACACGCGGCAATAGATTGCCCAGATCAGCATCAGATAGAAACACTTGTAGGTGAGCATCTAAACGGAACGTGTCCGCCAATTCGCCAGCCAGCGATTCCCCCACGCTGAACATCAGCGGAATCATGAAGATATTGAGGTCATCGAACCAAAAGAACTTGTGCTGCACGCGGTAGATGTGCAGCAGAATAAAGAGGAGCGGGATCGCGACGGCTATCAAGTACTGGGATAGCATACTCTTCACCGGACCGTCGCATCTGCGCGGGAACTGCCACTCGGTGACCCACCAGAGCACCGTGAGCGCCTGAAGTAGCATGAACTCTTGTGCTTAGGATGCTCTTAAGAAAGTTCTGGCTCAACGCGCTACTCCCCACCCCGTCAGGCCTCAGCTTCCATATCTCGGCTCTCCATTGTTCTACAGGGCTGTGATATGCACCAAAACATTCGCCAAATCAAGACGAATGTTTTGGAGCTATTGATGTTTGGGGGGGGGGGGCATATTTTTTTTGGAGGTTTTTTCCGGCCTAAGCTTGTCTCCAAGTCTAAGCTAACCAAGCCAAGCCCAGCCTAAGCATAACCTAAGCCAAGCTTAGGCTTAAGCCCAATCCTAAGCTAAGTCTAGAACAAGCCTAAGCTAGGGCTGGGCCAAGCCTAAGCTAGGCCTAGACTGAGCATAGACTAAGCCTAAGCTAAGCCAAAACCAAGCCTAAGCTAAGCCTAATCCTAATCCTAAGCCTAAGCCTAAGCCAAGCCTAGGCCTAAGCTAAGTATAAGCCAAGCGTACGCGAAGTCAAAGCTAAGCCTAAGCCTAAGACTGGGCGCCAAAAAAAAGATGCCCCCCCCCTAACATCAATAGCTCCAATGTTTTACTGTACGCAACACCCCTGTAGACGAACGGGGTGCAGAGATACAACAATCGGGTGCAATTCCGGTGTTTCTCGGGAGTCTTACTCGAGCTCTTAAAAAAACCTCACGAGCTCGATGGTCAGCAACAATCCATAGGGCTTGCGCCGGAGAAAGTCCAAATCCAGGCCGCCAAGGAAAGGAACGGCACCAGAAATGTCGAGACTCACTGATATCCCAGATTCAATACCTGCTAACTTGGTGCTCCACGCACGGGAATCCATGTTGAATACTCAGAAAATGAAGAGGAGTTTCAAGACATCCGAGAAAAAATCGGATTTAGGATTCAAATTTCAGTCTAATTATTAATTCAAATTTTGCACGCTTTATGTCCACTATATTTTTTTGCAGAAAGCTTTATTGTCGTAGCACCAAGACAACGCTAAAATGGACATGGCAAGAGATACGTCGAATGAAAGAGGAAAACCGGCAGGGAATGTGCGAATGGAAGCGCTTGGGGACGCACAAGGTAACAAGCATATCACAGAATCGTTGATTTTCTATCAGAGATGGGCCTTTGGAGAGCTGCTTTACAATTCGCTTTTAGGGGGAAGAAAAAGCGTAGATTATGACGAGCAATCGGAGCTTTACAAAGTAAATTGAGGATGTGGAGGAGGATGCGCGGCTGTTGGGGAGCTGTACGTCGGTCCAGGCATCAGCGGTTCGATCTTCGAGCCTAAATCAAGAGATGTATGTGGAACTTAAAATCCAAAAGGGTATTTCGTTTACGGAAAGAAAACCAGGCCTACCCTCGATGTACAGCGTTGAAAGCTTCAACGCCTGCGAATTCGGCGCAGCACGGAAGAGAAGGATCGCTAGGTAGAGGTTAACCAAGACCTGGCCGGCGACAAGCAGCTAAAAAAGGGGGACTAGAAACATAATTTCAGCTCACCAGCCCGATGAAGGTGAAGAGGATGTGCCGGAATTGGTAGCGCAGCGAATCGATGCTGTCGATCAAGTACGTGAGCAACGGGAAGCACATACACAGCCCGAAGATGACCGACATGACGAAGATCTAGAAAAATAAGAACGTTTCTGTAGAGCGAATGACTTACAATAAGTGTAGCCGGACAATAAACCGTCGCGGTGCCAATGTTGAGCAGTTTGTTCTGAAGCCGGAAGACGTGCAGCAGGTTGTACAGCAACGAGCTGAGGAAGATGGTGCCGGAGATGCCGCTTGCCCAATATGCGCCATCATACTTGTAAGGGGCGACGACGGTCAACACCAAGAGGGCGAATGCGAGTACCTGGAAATGACGGCGTTAGCTCAATGATCACTTTGTGTTATATCGCAAACACCAAGGTATGGCTTCTACAAGACTTACCGTTTGCAGAGCCATTAGCGTTCCATAGGGCTTTCGCTGTAAAAATCCCCAATCAGCATTTCGCGTCACGGCTTCCATTTCGCCAAAATCAGCTGTAAAAACGCGTTAGAAAAGGGATAAATTCAAATGCCCTGCGCTTTTGAAAAGGATGTGATAAGCTAAAAAATTTCAAAATAAAATTTTGCTTTTTGATAGCCACTGAATCGTTACGAATTGTTGAAAAGAAGTTTTTACTTGCACGCCGGTGAGTCAGAATGGCTTGACCGGACGCGGAGAACGATGGTCAATAGCGGGCAAACTGGGGAGGGCGCAGACAGCGGCCCGGATACGCTGACACACGAGCCGCCCCAAACAATGGGACAGCGGGGCCTTTTCCCCGACCCTCTAATGGACGTTCACCACCAAAGTTCCCACCTGCACGTTACAGGTGGAATAATGCGCCAATCAACGCTGCCTAGGAGCCAAAACAATAGCTGCCGGATCGCACTATTTATCGCATAATACCAATACAGACAATCACAGGCTCTTTACAAGAGAAAAGACCATGCACAACGTGCTCAATACTTGATGGGGATGCGATCGTCGGATGCTTTCGGTTCAGTGCGCAGATCAATTTCGGTCATCGACACGACGGAAGTGCCCTGGCCGCCCGACTTGCAGTCGTCATCGGCGACGACGACGATAGGCTCCGGGTTGAGGATCATGTTCGAGATGTATTCTGGAGGCTTTGGTCGACTGCCGGATGTCTCGTGGCGGAGGAAGCTAAACAATGCATTGAAAACGAAACTTGCGCAAAGCGTACCGGTTGATCCTGGCCATTGTTTCACTGGTGCGCTCGTTCAGAATTGAGGAATGGTCCGCGCCATGCATGATCAACATCGGCACTGGGTGCTTCAAACGAGATTGCAGTACCTGAGCAACAAACTCAACAATGGAAAATTCACTCACCTTTCCATGGCTAACCGGTGTTGTCACGTCGTCGTTGCCGTGGCAGATCAGCGTTGGCACGTCGATCTGGGCCACCTTATCGACACTGGAACGACGACTTGAACGCCAAGGACGTCGACGATACTTTTTGAAGCGGTCGAGCTGCAGGCAGAAGGAGCCGCCCGACTCCACGGTTTCCGGGGCCAGGAACAGGCGCATCCCAGAGGCGAACGGGGCGACGAGGATCACACCTAAAACAGTTCCACATCTAGCTAAAAAATAATTACCAGTAAGCCCTGCCGGTCGGGTGCTCGCCAAGTCGACAGCGCACGTGGTGCCAATGCTGTAGCCCATCAGGATGATCTGATCAGCGGTATTGAGCAGTTGTAATCAACGGTCTACCTCTGCATGTGGCCTTGTCTGGCGCACATGTGCGTAGACAGCCGTGATGTCGCTGTAGATGTTGCCCTCGGATGGGTAGCCCGAGCTGCATCCGAATCTAGGAAAGCAAATCAGTTTCAAGACACAATCCCGTCGTACCCGGAATAGTCAAAGGCCACCACATCGCAAGCGAATCGATCAGCCATATGCATCACGTTCGAGCTGACCGGAGCCGTCCACCAGCCAAGGTCCGTGGAATTGGGCTGCGCAAAGATGACGACCTAAGAAAAGAGTTGAAAATCCGAGGCCCGTTTACCTGATGCTCATCCCTCAACATGCGCGGCTTAGCGTGCACGGCCACGATGGTGTTTTTGCGGCGAGTCTCAACCGTGAAGAATTTGCACCGGCTGCGGAGATTGACGCTGGATGGGAGAGGTCAGTTGAGAATCCGGTAAAAACCATTACTTTTCAGGGGAATCGCGTTGGCTTTCCGATTTTCGGCCACCAGCCGCCGTCAGCTCGATGTAGAAAGGTTTGCCATGGACCTAAAAAAGAAAGAACTAAATAGCGATACTACTTGAATACCTGTCTGGCATCCGTGGTCCATTCGGTGGGCTTGTCACTTCGCCTCAAGATGTATTCTTCGCCGCGAGGTGGTGGGTGGAAGGCAAACTAAAAATAAAATGAATTAATGTCAAATTAAGAGTTACCTTTCTCGCGACATGTTCCGGGATCGGCGGGCAGGCCAGGTAACAGAAAAGGCCGCATCCCTGAAAAAAAGAGTAAGGGAATAAAGATAAACAATTCACCTTCACAGCCATCAAGCACTGCTGCCAGAATCCAGTTTTCACGCGTTCCTCGCGACGCTGAAAAGAATAATCATGGACACCTGTAAAAACCTACCAGGTTCAAATCATCATCGTCATCAGGGACACCATCGTTCATCATTCGTTAATACAGAAAGCAGACGCCGACCGCGTCAACCAAGTAAAAAAATGTGGAAAGGGACTGGCGTGTTGAGTAAAAATGCGGCATGCGTGGTAATTTTGGCGCTTCCGGCCGTTGCGCTGCGTGGATGCTAAATAGAATTCAACCGTTCTGGCAGATCGTTGCGGAATTTTGCGGAGCGTTGCGGAAATGGATGAAAAACCATGTAAAAAAGTAAAATGAGACCTTTTTGTCGTTTTCTTTTTCTTTATCTTCATAAAAACAAGGCATTTATACAGTTGGATGGGGATACAATTTATTCGCGGTTAACGGGTTAATAGATTCGGATTCTTGTCTAGCTGAAGAGCGGCTCGCGCGACTTGCTTCGGCTGCCCATCTGGTGCCTCTGGAAAAGTGGATATAGATTAAGATCGATTAATATCGATGTAATTTCGCAACCAACAAATCCAAACCTGCGGCCTGCCACGCGGCTTTTTGAGGCTCTCGTCTTCCCTCAGACTGGCCACATTGCTAAATGGGAATTTTTCGATGGTTTCATGATTTTTGTTGCTATTTCTGGGTCGATAAAACAAAAATTAAAGCATACCGAAGCGTATCGTCCTCTTCCGTGCCCGTGCCGACGAGCAGAATCTCGGGGGGTGGCGTTACGGGCGTTGGCGGGGTCCCGGGGTTACTGAAAAATCCGGGTTTTCCTGGAATTTGCAAAGAATACCACGCAGCGGGGTAGCTTTTCTTGTCGTCGCGGCACATCATCAACCCGAGTACGATTAGAGCGTTTGCGACGAGCTGGTGGAATGTCAGATTTATAATTCGGCCGGCTCACTTACGATTTCAATGAATGGTAATACAGAAAAAGTCATTAACAGAGTGGGCAGGTAGAAACTGTATACAAAAATGATTCGTTTTCGGTGGTTATTTTGCGCCGGAGGTGTAGAAGTTGTTATGCAAATCGTGCGGTTCAATTATGTGGTTTTATCGTAATTTTTAGGGTTTTTCCTGCCATGTGCTGCGAGTGCCGTGCCGCATTATTTATTTGCAAAAGGCAGTACATATCGGCAATATTAATATGAGAATATCCGTTATTCGGGTGGAGACGGGCTACGCATCGGAGATTTATGATGAAGTGATTCAGCGGTCCTCCGTCGACTTCAACTGGGATTCGGACTGGCTCTCCGTGCCTGAAAGACGGCTTATTTTTTGCCCTATCAAAATATGATTTATTTTACGGTAATCTAGGACTTACCCTCTGGCGAAGCTGCTGAAGAAGAGTTCGAAGCCAAGCTGGCTCGCTCCTTCTCCGTAGCCTCATCCGCGCTGCCGTACAGACGCGCGTATGACGGATGCGAGGGGTGGAGGGTGAACGCGTCGCGCCAATTCTGCAAATAGGCATTTTTTTTTTTTGGATTACAAGAGCTTTTGCACCCACCCCGTCCTGCGCCGCGCGGTAGACGTTGTAGGCGCCAAAGCAGAGCACGAAGACAAGGGATAGGTTGCCCCAGATGTATCCGAAGAGGTTGGCCTCCGGCGGGTACTCGTATTTGTGAGGGCTAAAAAATCGTTGGCACGGGATTTTTAGCGGGGGGCGCTATATAAAAAGTTTTGGTGCTTCCTGGTTATCGGGGGTCGGTTATTTTAGCGGGGGTCGGTTGCGAACTTTTTTCTATAATATCGTGCGGCTCGGCTAATTAAAAACTCGCCGTTTTTATAGACTTGTGCGCCGTTTGAAATGGTTCTGGACTGTTAGCGGGGGAGGAGACATTAAGAAAAACGTCATAAAACATGTTGAAAAAAAATTTCTTTTTCGGTCTAACGTATATGAAAATGGCTAAAACCGCGCTATAACCCTAGATTTCGTGACTATAGGATAAATATTTTTATAATTTTTGATTATCGGAAGCTACTAAAAACAGTATTAAAATAAACTACAATTTATCACTAGGCAGGTATAGGCTAAACGAAAAGAAGATGCCAACCGACCCCCGCTAAAATAACAGACCCCCGATAACCAGGAAGCACCAAAGTTTTCAAATATGAAAAGCTAATAAAAAATTATGAATTTTCGAAAATTTTTGACTTCTAGGTCAAAGTATGAAAAATGGCCAGAAAAGTCATCATTTTCGAATTTTCTATACGTTTCCAGCAATCAAAAATTTCTAAAAGCTACAAAAATCCCGTTTTCAATCTTTTCCTACTTGTATGGATTCTCCGCATCATTGGGGTAATCCAGACGGGGCTTGCGACCGCCATATGTCACCTCCGGGAACTGGCCGGCGTTGTACATGATCACCAAGCAGAAGATAGGGGTCAAGAATTTCCACGACAACCAGTAGAGGAGCCCCGATTTGCCGAGCCATGATCTAATAAATGTGTTTCTCGAGCATGTATGTTCACCAACCCAAGGATCCCCTTCGGCCGTCCGAAGATGTTCTGCAGGTCTTCACGGTGGCGGCCCCAGCCTGGAACCCCAAAAGCTTGATGGCGGAGTGTAAACCTACGATCGTAGATGTGGCAGACGAGGATCAGTTCGAGCAGGATCAAAAGACCCATCGCCACTCCCCCGCAGCATTCGTCCATCAGGGTCACAAAATAGCAGCCAGCCTGAAAGTATACAATCCGCTGCTCGCACCTCATGCTCACCTTGGTGCACGACACCGTGCTGCCGGCGAGGAGGGCCAGTATGACACTGACTCGGGCCAGCCACTCGCGCTCTTTCAGGAAATCGCAGCTATCGATCAGCGCCGCAATGATGGCTTGCATGTCGACTGTAAATCAGCAGTTCCGAAGCGCTCCAATTGGCAGAACCCATGACTGTCGACACGCCGAGCAGCAGCATCATGAAGAAGAAGAGGAACGCCCACAACCAGGGGAACGTCATTTGTGACATTGCCTCGGGGTAGGTGACGAATGTTAGGCCAAAGTCTGGACAAGTAAGTGGATTTTTCCGAGTTATCTAAACTTACGAGACGTCGACAAATCCTCGATCTCCTTGCCGGTCAGCTCCGACAAGTAGCCGAGCGTCGTGAAGACGGCGACCCCGCCGACGATCGACATGAATGCATCGGCACTCACCACCACCCAGGAGTCCTAAAGAAAACTAAAAGAGGAGTATCGTAGCGTACTCGGAAAGAATTGTGCCGTTTCGGATTGTACGAGCCCATCGAATGCACGCCGCCGGTGCCGATGGTTAGGCTGATGCAAGTGTGGTGGACGGCTTCTTTCCAAGTCTAGGAAAAAGTATAAACATACGTTTTCTCAAACACACCCTGAGCTCGAAGACTTTGTCGAGGTTGGGCACGATGAATTTTGACAGTCCTTTGCCCATGCCGGGGAGGAAGAGGCCGTGGAAGAAGAAGATACCTAAACGAATTGTTGCCGTTCTTTAAGACCCCCAAATAACGCACCAACAATCACGTAAGGCAACAACGCGGTGACGTAGGCAATCTTGCCCATCACATTAACGCCTTTCCACAGCATCAACCCGCACAGCGACCAGATGAAAACCATCGCAACTAAAACCAGTGAAAATGGCAGGAAAACTGTTGTGCACCGAAAAGCTTCCAGTTCATCTCGAACAGCCCCTCGCTGATGTCCGTTGAGCGCAGTAGAATGTACTCCCTAAACGAGTACTTAGTTTTTATTATGCAAGCCTACTCGAAATACTCTTCGGTGGGCACACGCAGGCGGCGCGATGCGTTCAGGGCGTCCAGTCCGTAGAAGCACACGTTGTTCTGCGTGACGAAGGGCTCGCCGTGGGCTGGCGCGGTGCAATTGCCATATCCGCGCACCGACGGGAGGCAATCTGAAACCACATTTTTTATATAATTTTGGTTTACCGGGTGTATTCCACTCATGCCCGCACTCTGTCCAGTAGCGACTGCGGCCGGTAAATAGGTCCCAGCTGGAAAGAACGGGTTTCACGTAAGAACGTAGAGTTTCACGCGCAAACAAAAGTATAGGGCTACCCACAGGTAGATGACCGACCAGCCGACGACCACCAGGTAGTAGACGTTCACCTGTTGCGTCAAGAACGTCATCGCCCAGCCGAGCCCTAAATCGGCTGTCAAATAGACAATTCCCCTTTTCTCACCCTGCATCACCGGCATGTACTTGTGGAATATACGGTGGACGCTAGATTGCGTATACTGCCCGACGAAAGATTCCAAGTAGAAAATGGGCATGCCGAACAGCACGGTGCAGGTGAAGTAGGGGATCAGGAAGGCGCCTGAACAACAATTCGGCTTCTTCAATACGAAAAAAGCCAAATTAACCTCCTCCATTTTTGTAGGCGACCGCTGGGAAGCGCCAAATGTTGCCGAGGCCAACCGAGTACCCGATGGCCGTCATCAGGTACGCCCATCGAGAGCCGAAGCGCTCACGGCCTAAAAACGTTGATCATCGCTCTAGAATTGTCTTCTGAAAGTTAAAAAACTCAAATCTTACCCTGAGCATCATAATCTTCTTCTTCGTTGCCCGACTCGACATTCTTCAGGCTCTTGCTTTGATCCGACATTCCCTGCAGCAGGTGTTGATGGATGAAAAAATGTTTGAAGCTAAAACGAGCCTTTGAAATTCAAGTTGTTCATGCAATTCAGCAGGAATCCTAATCTTTCTCTGATGCTAATGTCATCGTTGTCGTCGTTTCATCTTCATGACATGTGGGTGCTTCCTGGTTATCGGGGGTCGGTTGCGAACTTTTTTCTATAATACCAGATGGTTACAGTCGCTTCGCGACTGCAACCATCTGGCCTTCGGGCTACCCTGCACGTCCCACTCCACCACATCCTTTCCCACCTCCATCAATACCCCCCTCCATAGCCGAAATCCCGCTCAAAAACTACCTAAATACCTTCCTGATGGCTTCAGATACCCCCCATGGCTGAAATCTGCTTCAAAAACTACCTAAATACCTTCCTGCTGGCTTCAGATACCCCCCATGGCTGAAATCTGCTTCAAAAACTACCTAAATACCTTCCTGATGGCTTCAGATACCCCCATGGCTGAAATCCCCTTCAAAAACTACCTAAATACCTTCCTGATGGCTTCAGATACCCCCATGGCTGAAATCCCCTTCAAAAACTACCTAAATACCTTCCTGATGGCTTCAGATACCCCCATGGCTGAAATCCCCTTCAAAAACTACCTAAATACCTTCCTGATGGCTTCAGATACCCCCCATGGCTGAAATCCCCTTCAAAAACTACCTAAATACCTTCCTGATGGCTTCAGATACTCCCCATGGCTGAAATCCCCTTCAAAAACTACCTAAATACCTTCCTGATGGCTTCAGATACCCCCATGGCTGAAATCCCCTTCAAAAACTACCTAAATACCTTCCTGATGGCTTCAGATACCCCCCCATGGCTGAAATCCCCTTCAAAAACTACCTAAATACCTTCCTGATGGCTCCAGATACCCCCCATGGCTGAAATCCCCTTCAAAAACTACCTAAATACCTTCCTGATGGCTCCAGATACCCCCCATGGCTGAAATCCCCTTCAAAAACTACCTAAATACCTTCCTGATGGCTTTAGATGATTTAAATAATTAATTAACATAATTAAAAAGTATTAAAAAGTATTAAAGTAACTTAAAAAAGCTATCTGGGCGCGCGAAGGGGCTTGGGGAAGAGGGGCGAAGGGAAAGGGGGCGTGGCCTCCCGGGAGAGGGGCCCCCACTCGTTTTATTAAGGCGCCAGTTTCAAAGTTAATTTTAATAATTTAAATTAAAACTTTTTCATAATTTTTTTATCAGTTTGGGGGTTTCTGACCACGCTCTATCCGAATCCGAAGAGAGCTAAGCTCTAGCTCCTTTCCCCTTCGAGTTGAATTCGGCTTCAGACACACACACAGACAGACGTCTTTACTTTTTTATTATAGTTGATCGTGCGGCTCGGCTAATTAAAAACTGGCCGTTTTTATAGACTTGTGTGCCGTTTGAAATGGTTCTGGACTGTTAGCGGGGGAGGAGACATTAAGAAAAGCGTCATAAAACATGTTGAAAAAAAAATTTCTTTTTCGGTCTAACGTATATGAAAATCGCTAAAACCGCGCTATAACCCTAGATTTCGTGACTATAGGATAAATATTTTTATAATTTTTGATTATCGGAAGCTACTAAAAACAGTATTAAAATAAACTACAATTTATCACTAGGCAGGTATAGGCTAAACGAAAAGAAGATGCCAACCGACCCCCGCTAAAATAACCGACCCCCGATAACCAGGAAGCACCGACATGTGCAACAACGTCAGTGCCGGATTATTTATTCGCAAAAGGCATGTACAGATCGGCAAAATGATTGTGAGAATGGCCGTTATTCGGGTGGGGGCGGGCTGGCAGGCGGGGTACGACATCGGGAGATCTGAGGGGGCGTTTCAGCGGGCCGCCGTCGACTTCGATTGAGATTGGGATTGGCTCTCGGTTCCTAAAACATAACAGGTATTTTCTATCAAAAGGTCATGCCTTTTTACGGTAATCTAGGACTTACCCTCTGGCGAAGCTGCGGGAGAGGACTTCGAAGCCAGGCTGGCTCGCTCCTGCTCCGTAGCCGCATCCGTGTTGCCGTAAAGGCGCGCGTATGACGGATGCGAGGGGTGAACGGTGAACGCATTTCGCCAGTCCTACACAAATTTGGGAAACATCTTTTGCGCCTCACCCCGTCCTGCGAAGCGCGGTAGACGTTGTAGGCGCCAAAGCCGAGGATGAATAGCAAGCACAGGTTGCCCCAGATGTATCCGAAGAGGTTGGCCATCGGCGGGTACTCGTATTTGTGAGGGCTAGAAAGTGTTTTTGTGCTTCTTTGCCGTCTTTTCCAACTTGTAGGGGTTGTTGACGTCCTCGATATTATCTTCACGAGGCGTACGGCCCCCGTATGTCATCGACGGGAACTGGCCAGCGTTGTAGATGATCACCAAGCAGAAGACGGGGGCCAGGAACTTCCATGAGAGCCAATAGAGGAGACCCGATTTGCCGAACCAAGTACTAAAAAGGATACTTCGACAATTCAAAAATATCGCTAACCCGAAGAGTCCATTCGGACCGCCGAAGATGGCCTTGAGGTCGTCGCGATGGTTGCCCCAGCCTAAGAAAGACACGTATGATCGGAACTATCAAAACCCACGATCATAGATGTGGCAGACGAGGATGAGCTCGAGGAGGATGATGAGCCCGAGCGCCACTCCTCCACAGCATTCGTCCATCAGGGTCACAAAATAGCAGCCAGCCTGAAGGGTTGCGGTACGGAACGATACTTTCAATCTTTCCCACTTTGGTGCATGAGATTGTACTGCCGGCGAGGAGGGCAAGGACGACACCGACTCTGGCCAGCCACTCGCGCTCCTTCAGCCATCCCCAGTTCTCCACCAACGCCGCGATGATCGTTTGCATGTCGACTAGAGTGAGGAATTTCCGAATTGGTTTATTTTACGACTTACCAATGACGGTGGACACGCCGAGCAGTAGCATCATGAAGAAGAAGAGGAACGCCCACAACCAGGGGAACGTCATTTGAGACATGGCCTCGGGGTAGGTGACGAACGTTAGGCCAAAGTCTGGAGAATCAGTTTTTTTGGGCGCTTGATGGACTTACGGGCCGTCGACAAATCTTCGATTTCCTTGCCGGAGAGTACAGACAAATAGCCGAGCGTCGTGAAGACGGCAATGCCACCGACAATCGACATGAACGCGTCGGCGCCGACGACGAGCCAGGAGTCCTGAATTTGTTAATTTTACGGTTGGCTTTGGAAGCGGAACGTACTCGGAAGGAGTTGTGACGCCTGGGATTATACGAGCCCATCGCCTGCACGCCGCCGGTGCCGATGGTGATGCTCAGGCAGGTGTGGTGGACAGCTTCTTTCCAGGTCTGTCAAAACGTACATTTCTCAACGATGGGAAACCAACGCTGAGCTCGAAAATTTTGTCGAGACTCGGGATGAGGAACTTGGACAGCCCTTTTTCCATACCGGGGAGGAAGAAGCCGTGTACGAAGAAGATTCCTGAATTTTGAACCTGAATACAGCGTCTTTTTTTACTAAAGAGAAGTATTAAACAAGTTTTTAACGCCATATCCCCCAAATAACTTACCAACGATGATATAAGGCAACAACGTAGTGACGTAGGCGATTTTACCCATCATCTTCACGCCTTTCCAGACGATCAACCCGCACAACGTCCAGATGAACACCATCGCAACTAAAGACAATTAAATGAGTCAAAGAAATTGTAACCCACAAAACAACTTCCAATTCATCTCGAACAGCCCGTCGCCGATGTTCTTCGAGCGAAGGAGAACGTATTCCCTATGGGGGAAATTGTGCGTTTTTAGGCGTAAGCGTACTCGTAATATTCTTCGGTGGGCACACGCAGGCGGCGCGACGCGTTCAGGGCGTCCAGTCCGTAGAAGCACACGTCGTTCTGCGTGACGAAGGGTTGTCCGTGTTGTGGCGGGGTGCAGTTGCCATATCCGGAAACCGGAAAAAGGCAATCTAAAACGATGATTTGTCTTGCATCGTTAATTACCGGGTGTATTCCACGGATTTCCGCACTCGGTCCAGTAGTGGCTGCGACCGGTGATGAGATCCGAACTGGAACCACGATTTTATGGCAGTAAAAAAGTAAATTTCCGAGTTAAAAAAAGCAGAAAAAATAGATGAAAAGCTAAAAGCCACTCACAGATAGATGACCGACCAGCCGACGACCACCAGGTAGTAGACGTTCACCTGCTGGCTCAAGAAGGTCATCGCCCAACCGAGTCCTGACGCATGAATTCGGATAGATCAACTCCGCCTACCCTGCATCGCCGGCATGTACTTGTAGAAGATGTGGTTAACGCCAGTCTGCGTGTACTGACCAACGAACGCCTCGAGGTAGAAGAGCGGCATGCCGAACAGCACGGTGCAGGTGAAGTAGGGGATCAAGAAGGCGCCTCAAGGTGAATTTGGCTCAAGGAGGATAAAAGCCAAACGCACCTCCTCCATTTTTATAGGCGATGGCTGGAAAGCGCCAAATGTTGCCGAGTCCGACCGAGTATCCGACGGCCGTCATCAGATACGCCCATCGAGAGCCGAAGCGCTCACGTCCTAAAAAAGTAGATTAAGGGTTTAGAAGTTGCTTTCCAAAAACCCTGAGCATCATCGTCGGCATCTTCGCCTGACTCGACGTTCTTCAGGCTCTTGCTCCGGTCCGACATTGCCGATCGAAGTAGACGGGCGCTGATCAGATGACAGATTTTTCACAAGACATTCCCTCGGACTTCCACATTTTAATTTTTCATTCAATTGAGCCAAAATTTTAATTTCCGTGTGTTTCCCTGGAACCTTTCCAAAACCTTTGTTTGGAATTGTGCTAATTACAAGACCGGTACTTAGAATTTATCCAAAAAGCTGTAAAAATAACAATGAGCAATGAAGCAGCAACAATAAAATAAGGAGACAACATCTTCCAATCAAATCGCTGGTATCTTTGTCCTAAGCTTCGCCGGCGTGATGGCGATCGAGGGGGAATACTAAATTCTTACAATTTCTTCAAACTAAAAGTGCCAAACATGTATCGTCGCCTTGCAGTCACCGCATTCCCTGGGCTCATCGCAGTAATGGCCGAGTTTCTCGTTGCATTTCGGGCAGTGGACCTGGGTGAATAAAAGTTAATAGTGCGTCACAAATATACCTTTCCAGCATAGTCCATGCATTCCATCCAATCAAGCTGGCGAACGATCAGGCCTGTGCATATTTTGTCGGGCTCCTCGTAGTGCTAGAAGACCAAAATTTTTCGACAAACTAACGCATACCCTCGTTCTCTCAAAATGTTTATAAATGTCGGCTTCTTCAAAAAGTGCCGTCCGGCATTTGGCGCAGAAGAAGGAGCGTTGAGTGGAGAGGGCCTAAAATAGGTCCGGTTTTCGATAGAAGCTAAAAACTAACCGTCCCCGCTATCCTCGCCATTGAGCTGCCCATTCCTTCAACGTCCTTTTGGCTGGTCGCGGGGTTCTGCATACGCTCATAGAGCTTCAGCTGGAGGGTGAAGCCTGAAATTCCGGTCTCCCTTGAATGGCTAGACTACCAGTATTTGGCTTCACATCCGGTTTGCACTCCTCCAAGTATTGCAGCGCATCGGCGGCAGTGAAATGATGGCTAAAATATGTTTATTGATTATGGGTTGACTCGGAAAATCACTTTTTGATTAGCGCAGCACAGCAGAGCGTTGCGCTTCTAGACATTCCGGCTTCACAGTGCACCAACAATGCTTCGGAAGCCGTGGCAGCGGCTAAACATAGTTTTCTCAAAATTCAAAACCATGATTGTACCTTCAATTATCGCGCTCGTTCGGTCAAAGATGCCGATCAGGTATTCGGACTCGGAGTCGACGGCATTGAAGTGTTCGTAGCGAAGCCCCTAAAGAACGGATACAGCCTAAGTATACTAGAAGTACCGGAAATCGTTCACTCTCTTCAAGCCGATTTGCGGTGATGGTCAAGATTAAGCTGATTCCTAAAATACATGGACTGACAATTTTCTATAAAAATTGCCTTGTTCTGTCAGCCAGTCCTTATCTCGGGCCGCGTCTGCATCGCCAAGCCACAGATTGCCAAGCTTGGGAATTTTCGCGATCGTCATCTAGGACGTTGCCCTATTTAGATTTTTTTATCGATTTTCAAGCGAGAAACGACCTTTTACCGTAAAATGTATTATTTTTTTCGATTCCCCTTGTCGGTAGAATAGCCAGCAAAGCAACGTGTAGGTGTATCCTCTGCAAAATGTAATAATCTTTATTTCGGTTTTCAAGTCCAAGAATCAGCATGCGCAACATAGCAAAGTACGGTCCAAACAGCTCCTTGTTAAATTTCGCCAAATATTAGCAAAATCAATCCAAAGCACTGTCCAGCTCCGCAGAATCACAATCGTGTATCCAAATGAAAAGCTCGCGAGAGAAAATATATAGGCGGAATATTTGGTGAACTGAGCAAAAAAGTGGTTGACTTACAAAAAAAGACACGTTCACAGTTAGGGTCACCGGTCGGGGCTGGGCGGGAAATATTATAAGGAGGGGGAGGGTAGCACCTGAGTAGCCATTGATACAGCGGCTACCAGCAAAAAAAAAATACAGTCTGTAATTTCAAACATTATTTCTTCACTTCCGGATCGCAAAAGTATTTGCCGGCAAAGAGCTTCCGGCGGACCATCGACAGGTGGTAGACGTCAGATGGGTCGAGTTGTACGGAAGCGCCAGAGATGGACGAATCGACGCACTAAAATGAAATATAACTATTTAACATGCAATAAAGCTTACATGAAATGAGACGTGGGTTTGAGCCGGGGTACTTGGCCCACCACCAGGGGCGAGTCGCAACCGGGCTTTTAGAGAACCGTTCGTCTGTCCGGCTCGCGAAATTTCGGTCAACAGCCAAGATAGGGTAGAAGTGCCGGCTTGCCTGAAAGTTCATACTATAGAAAAAGATAAGAAAAGGGTTGCCTACGGAATTTCAAAATCCATCTTTTAGAATTTTGTCAAAAATCAGCACGTCAACTTTTGACAACGTTTATATGCACACTTTTCATCGCAAATTGTATTGTACATCGACAAAATCAATGTCGATAAACTAAAATTTGAAAAAAGAATTTCCAAAACTTGAATTCGAAGAAGTAAAATTCGACAAAATGAAAACCCGACAAAGTTAATTTCACAAAAATCGAGTTTCGACAAAATCCCTATAAGCTCATCCAACCCTTGAAAAACAAAAAAGCCTCACCAATCCGCCGAGGGGTCCGTAATCACATTCTCCACGCCGCCGTTGACGATCGTCGCCAGGCTGACGTTGAGCAGCGTTGCCGTCACGGGGCACCCGATGTTGAGTCGGTACTCGATGAAGATATCCGTCGTCTCCGCTTCCGTTTTCCAGTATGAGAGCACGGTCAGCGGTGGCTCGAGTGTTTCATCTTCTTTCAGCTCGTAACGGAGGACTTCGGCGTTGAAGAACTGGGTGCCCGGGCGGGACTCTTGTTGGGCTTGTAGCCATTTGGCGAGGGCTTGCCGGTCGAACGAGTAGCGGTAGCCGTCGCCGGCGGTGGTGATCAGGAACTGGAAATGGGACATTGGTGAAAAAACGGTTTAACAAAAATACCTCCTTATTCGGCAGCACAGCTTTGATTTTATCCGTTGAGGCGAGCCGGAATGAGAGAGGTTCAATCGAGTTGTTTAGATCGGTCAGCAACGGTATCGAAGCGGCGGCGAACGAGATCATCACGGTTCCGAATACCCGCACAACTTTTCTGAAACCAAAAACAATTACTTCTACAGAAAATAACCTACTGGCTGGTGTCGCTTCCTTTAAACCACACATGGCAGTACTCGTTGATGGCCATTGCCACCGGGACACGATACTCGCTTGCCTAGAAATGGAGGGCTTTGATAAAAGGATCTAAAGCTCACCGCCATCAAGTCCAGCGTCGAATTGCTGAGCGAAGACATCGAGCCCTCGCCGCCGACGAGCCCGCCAAGTTGTGCGCTCCAGTCTTGCGAGCCCATCGAGTCCTAAAGCGAATTCCCAAATTTTTGAGCTGTTTCTGACCCGCTTTCCCATCGGCAGATTCGGCGTGTTGCTTCTCGGCCTGGCCCTGGCCATACCCAACACCGCCGCTGCGCCCACCGACGAGGAAAAGCTGAGCGGCACGTTGCTGCGAGCAAAGTCGGACTCTAAAAAGCTTTTTGGTGATCCCAAAACCGAATTCTCACCATTGAACTTGCTGCGCAGGTGTTCATCTCCGGTATGGGCGGCACGGAGGGGTTTGACACCGCCAAGGGACTGAGAGAACGGGGCCCGCGTGGTTGAGACTGACCAGGGGTCCTGGAAAAAAGCATAAATTGAGCTGTCGAAAAATACCTTGTCAAACGTCGCGCTCCGGCCCAGCGTTATACTCCCTATCGCGTCGCGCAGTTCATCTACCGACGAATTCCTGGCGGCCCCGACTGCCGCAGGCTTGATCGTTAGTGCTCGTATCCGAGATTTTTGCATCTCATTTTCATCCTGGAATTTAGAAGAATTCGAAGAAGGTTTGAATTAGAAACGTAGCAAAATGCTTAAAACGTTTTCAACCTGACCTCATCGCTCGAGGAACAACTACTCCAGTCCGGGCGGTCCTTCCGGTCCTCGCTGGGTCGTATCGAGTATCCGTCGGCGTCTACCGAATGTGTCGACAGCACACCATTCGCCTGCTTCTCGTCGCTGCGACAGCTGCTGGCCGTACTTTGCGCATCATCCGCACTAAAATAGGCTTAACTCTCGAGTTGAGCTTGGAAACTCACTTTTCTTTGTCGATGGGGGCGCTGAGGTCCAATTGTGACTTCTTTTTGCTGTTTTTCCGGAATTTCAAGAATCCTGAAAGTGATATGATATAACTAAAATAATCAAAAAAGCGTTTCGTTTTTACAAATCGTAATTTTCCGGAAGCACCACAAACTTTTGCGGAAAGACGCGGGTGCCGAGCCGCAGCGTCGATCCATCAGTCTATCGGAGGGCAGAAATTGCTTATGTGGGCTGAGGACAGTGGCCGCCCGGGCCCGCCTGCCCTCGAAATTGTCATCCGAGCCGAGGGCGTAAGCCCCAGCTGCCGATATGGGCCCTGCGTCTTGGGTAGCGCTGCGCGCGGAGTGGCATCGGCGCTCGGATTTGGTGCGTCGATGCTGGTGCGGGGTCTCCGAGCGGAATATGGCGTGCAAGCGCAACATTGGGTTTTTTAAGTCGGGGAATATCGATAGTGGGACCTGGGCTTTCTGGTCTGCCCCCATTGTTAATCCGGCAACGGGATAATCCGCGGGAAGACGCGCACAAGGCTTCACATTCTCATGCCATTTAGCCGGTCCCAAGAATTCGGGGGAATTTTCTACGATCTTTTTCTTCGAAATAACAAACCTCCAACAACACCGGGCTCTTCGGAATCGGGGATGCTGCTCTGACTGGCCGTTTTTCTGGAACTAGGTATCAGGGTTTACATGAGCAATGAAAAACGTTCTTTTCAGTGCTTTAGTATTTTCCGGAGGGACAAGTTTTCACCTCATTTGTTCTAATAGAAATAAAGGATATGTTTCTACGCTGTTTTACGATACCTACTCTTTCAGCTTTTGCAAATCTTGACAAAAAAGGAACCTTCCGACTAAAAATTCTGCGACTCCGCTCTCCTTACGTTCCGTTAAAAACCTACTTTCTCTTCGGCAACCACATAGAAAGCTTCTTCCCAGCCGAGCCACCAAAGCTGGTCGAAAATCCTTGTGGGGGCGGGGGTGGTAGGGCGGATGGTGGCTGGTTACTTGAATCATCGGACCCACTGGGTGAGGGCATTTTCGTGGAGGCAGCCTAGGAAATTTGATATTAGTAATGGACATTTCTATACTTTATTCTCTTCATTGGAATTCCACGTAGATGGTACATCAAGCACGAGGAGGTCATGGGCAGTTGGTGGAAGAACCGGCTGTTCCGTTTTCACGACCTAAAAGGTTATAGAAATGTTTTTTTTCTTCAAATTCTGGCCAAAGTTTTTAGCCGCTGCTTTTTCACCAACCTGACTGCTGTTACAGCTTGACGGCTGTGACGTGCCGGCCGATCGTTCGCTATCGTCTCCGCCGTGCGACATCAGGCCGTCCAGGTCTTCGAATACGACAGCTTCTTCAAAAATAATCGTCATAAATTTCAGTGGATAAACGAACGTGGCCTATCCTTTCCGGTGGCCGCCTTCTTCACGAAATTCTCGACGAATTGATGGACTTCGAGGGCTTGGACGGATTCGCGGAACTGGGAGCAGACCTGAAATCGGTAAGTGTTTTTCGTTAAAGGGATAGGGGCGGCATAAGTCAATCGATTACGCGAGGGAAAGAAAATGTCTCTGCGCCTCTCCCCTGGGCGCCCTCTCTCGCCGCGGGACCTGTTGAACCCCTCCCCCCCCCCCCCCCCTCCGTAAGGGGGGTTCAACAGATGCCGTCCTCATCTCTTTAACGTCTACTTTTAATTTTTAAGCAAAAAATCAGACTTAAAGGCTACCTGCATCGCCGCCGCTAACGTCTCTTGCTGTTGAACGGCATAAGTTAGCAGAAATTGGCGCAAAGAAGAGTAGTGATCCATATCCAAGGCTACAAATCTATTTTTCAAATTACAGCTTCATTCATACCTTGAAAAATCGTTGCCGCATTCTCCATTTTCCGCTCGTATTGTACACGTATTTGTTCGTATTTCTCGACGTACTGCCGGTACTCGTCTTTGGCCTTTAGGAGTTTCGATTCGGTCTGAAAATTCGAGTATGGCAACCCCCTAAAATTTTACCTTTGCCACCTCCTTCGCGCTGGCTGTAGAATCTCGTCGCAACTTTTCCAACTCGTTAAATCGGGACATGTACGTCTCTTTGGCCTATAATGTACACTTTAGAACTTTCTGCCAAATAATTCAATTTTAAAAATGGTTTAAAACTCACTTTCTGAAGGCAAGTAGTCGTTGTTTGCATCAAGTTGACTGTATCGACCACATCCTGCTCTTTGGCCTTCTTTCGGGTCTTGGAGAAGTCGTCTTGATACCGCGTAACTTCTTTCACTAGCTCCTAAAACGAGAAAGTTCAAAATTTTACCGAAAGTTAAGAAAATCTAACGCATAAAACCCACTTGTATGCTTTTGAAATACGCTCCATGAATTTCGGCCAGCAATTCGATCGTTCCCCTCGCTAACGCCCAGCCCGGCGCAAAATTTGAGCCGTGCGAGATGAAAGAGCTTACCTAAAAAACAACGAAAAAAATTAATATATAAAGCCTGCTTACTCGATTCGCATTTTTTAGCAGCTGTTTCTGGGCGTCATCCTCGTATTGCGAGCGTTCTTTCAGGAATTGGACGAACTAAAAGCACAAGATAGATTGTCAAAGACTTCAGAACTAGCAAACCTCGGTGGCCACCTCTTCGCCCTTCCGCAGATTCTCGTACATAACGTGGTGGCCATGATGTTTTTCGCCCTGAGTAATGAATTTTGTAAAATAGAGCTCAAAACTTACCCAAAAATTGTTGACGTATAGGTATTCAGTGCGGCTCATTACTCAACACGTCATCAGATAAACCTGAAGTCATAGTTTTTCGAAAATGTTTTGTCGAATATTATTTTATAGGCTAGAACAAAGTGTAGAAAAAGAGATTTAAAGCCTGTCTTTATATGCGAAACCGCCCAAAAACTAGCTTTAATTAATTTCGCGCTTGGGCCAGAATGTCGAGAAGAACACAAAAATTAAGGTTTTTCATAAGCAAAACCGCGCCAAAACAAGTTTGGGCTAATTTTAGCGATCAATTGACCCAAAAAAACATGGCGAAGAACTCAAAATCCCATTTTTTTTTACAAGCAAAACCGCGCAAAAAAAAACAAGTTTTAACTAATTTTCGCGCTCAATTCCAGCGTAACCGCCGGTAGAATCATATGAACAATCGGTCGCTTGTGAACACCCGAGCAATTTGATGATGGAAAACCAGTTTGTCCGCTGGGGGACGAGAGATCGGCCGGCGAATCGTATCGGATACAGCAGCAGGAAGTGACCCAAGGGGTTCGCTGCGTCTCTTCGATTGCCATGGTGTCTCCTCCCGCGCTACGGTCAGCTGGTCAGAGGGTAGGGCGAGTCGTTAGGGTGTTGATATCAAGAAAATGTTGAAAAAAGAGGTGAAAAACGAACAACTTATTATAGTTTCAAGTCTTAGAGGCCGAATCTAGGGCTAGCAATGGACATTTTGGCAAAATGCCAAAGCCAACGAGACCGTCCTGGGGAGCCCTTCGTTGGCAATTACGACATGTTATTTCTAATATTTTTAATTCATTTTTTCATAAAAATCTTCTCCTTTTCTTCAGATTTATCGTATCTAGACAAAGTTATGCTGACGGTTCTGCGATAAAAACATCCAAAATACTGATTTTTAATCGTATTAATTTGATAGTTTTGATACTTTTTGGATAGTTTAGATAGCTTCTCGCGGGATTTTTTTCTACAAAGGTTTAATTTTGTCTTTTTCGTCTGTATTACATACGTCAAATGACGAAACTGATAAAGACTAGAAGGGCTAGACGTTTTTTTTTACTTTTCAACCCCGTTGCATCTCAGTTTAGCTGTAAGCTTAGCGGCTGGTCATAGTTTTTTGTTTAAATTTTAGGGGTTTCACAGGCTCAGGGTCATTCATCGTGCTCTGGGCGTAGTAATCCACCTCAGAAATCCAATCTAATTAGGTACAACAATTTTTGGGCCTTTAGAATTTGCTTTTGGCCTTAAAAGGCTTATATTTCAAGCCGACCGCCAGCTTTTCGAGCGTTTCAATCTCGGGAAAAGCCGCGTTGTTGGGCGGGGAAGTGGACGGTGTGTGGGGCGGCGGTTCCTCGTTGACAAAACATGTGCCTTTTTGCCGAGATTGATCGTTCCTCCTCAAAGCGCTGGCCAGAGTGGTCCCAGGTCGGCCAATAGTCGCGCCCGTCGTTAGTTTAGTCCTCGAATTTCAGGTCAACTTGTGGCCATCGGCTGTTTGTGACTGGTTTCGATATATTTGAAGCTAGTTCTGCTGTTCGTTTAGGGTTTGTAAAAGCTGTACATTAGTTTGGATCCCGTCTTTCATTTATAAATTTTCTTATTATTTCGTTTTTTTTTTCTATGGCCCGCAATTTTCCATTAAGATAATAGTAAGCAATTTCATCGCGTGTTAAGTAAAATTTAGCTATATTTCGGGCCGAAAACTATCTAAAAACTTCGGAATCTTGTCGAAAGTCGGCCCTTTTTGGTCGAAAAACTGTTTTGTTTTGTATTTTGTAGCAGCACGTTGTACGGATTTGCGTTTAGGAATAGTAAGAAAAACAGTTTAGAAAGCTTTATATTGTAAAAAATGGATCCTAAGGAAAAGAGGTTGCTTTTCCCCCTGATAATCTCTCCCCCCCCCCCCCGATAATGCGAAAGTACACGATCAGTCCTTAAAAATTCGGTTTCGAATGCTTTTAAATTTTTGAGTCCATAAGCAAAAATTTTTCGCTCTCTAGTCCTCGGAACCCTTTTGTCTAGCCAATTAGCCGTGATAGACGAGCAACTAGGGCAAACTGTGGCCATCCACGGCTGCAATAAATATCCTTTTTACGGGGCCGATCGCCTTGAAGCAAGAGGGAGACGATCCGAAAATAAGGTGGCATGTGGCCCCACCTGCGTCACTTGGCCCTCTTTTTTTTCTTGCGGCCCTATTGGAAGCGGTGGCCCTGCAGGAGCAGCACTTTTTTGTTTGCGGCCGACTCGTTCCTGATCTGGGCTTGACGTTTTTGTTGTTGCGCCGACAGCTTTAGCCTGGGCAATAAAGATAGAATTGCATTTTTATGTTTTTGAATTGATTGTGATAAAAAAAACCGCCTGTTAGATGTCTTTAAGGCACTTTCGCATTAACGGGGGGTGCATTTTTTGTGAATTTCTTTTTGTAAATCCTGTTTTGGAATTCTTTTTATGGGAATCTTACTTTTCTCAAGTGGAAAACAACCAACAAACTTAGCGGTAAGTTTTTAGGTTGAAATTTTTGCGGGAAATTGGCGATTTTTTTGGTCGAATAATCCATATTTTTTAATTTTGTTAAGGAAAACTTGTAGATTGTAGATTGAACCAACAGTTTAAAACCTGTAAACACATTCTTTCTACTTGGGTTTTTTTCTTTTTTAAGTTTTATAAGCCCCCAAAAAATCCTGAAAGCTAGCTATGAGTCACCTCCACACAGACCAGCAATGTTTATATGCAAAAACAACATCCCCGACCCACTCAACGATCCAATCGATGGCATCTCGTGTTTTGATCCTCCTTGGCGTCTTCTTCTTCCCATTTCCCCCCAAAATGCCCAAATGCGAATGTTTAGACCGTGCTTGATGTCGGTGACGGCGCCAAATTTCTATCGCCGGCCGTTGCCGGATTCGTGCGTCCCGTTTGCATCGGAGGCGGGGAAGAAATATTTTACGGAGAGCTTGATGGAAGGTATTGTGATTTGAGCTACCGCTTTACAATAATCATTTTTAGGAAACGCGAATATCTACTTCAAGCTTGCCGCACAGTTTATCACGCAGGACGAGCCGGCGTACTGTGGCCCGAGTAGTTTAGGTGGGAATTTTTGGCGGTACTGCTTGTTTTTTTAGTGAATTTTAACGACTGAAATGACGTATTTTTATCTTTTTAGGGCTTATTTTCATTTTATCGAAATTTCAATCCATTTTTCGTCGCGATTAGTATTCACCTCAAAAACTTCGCAAATCCAAATTTCGACGAAATGACATTTCGATTAAATGATTTTCGACAAAAATGATATTGCGACAAAATGCGTCTAAAAAAGATAGCAAATAAATTCTTTTTCAGTAATGTGCCTAAATGCTTTGGAAGTGGACCCGGGACGAGTTTGGAAAAGCCCGTGGCGCTTCTACCACGAGAGTATGCTGGATTGTTGCGTACCATTGGAGGCGATTAAAAGGTAATTTCCGGCTTTACCTTACGATAAGCAGGATTTTTCAGATCCGGCTTGACGATCTATCAGATGCGCTGTTTGGCGAACTGTAATCGGCTGAATTGTGAGCTGGTGACGGCAGATGAGGGGGATGGTTTGTAAACTTTAAACAATTAAAACCGTAACACTTCAGAATCACTTTCTACCTTCCGCGCCGACGTCATGAGGAGTGTTCGTTCGGATACGACAATAATTGTGGCCGGGTATAACCGGCGGGTTTTAGGGCAAACGGGCGCAGGTTTGTTTTCAGCCTTTAGGTTTCCGTTTATAAAATCTAAGCGTACACACCATGTAATTCAGGGACCTAAAATAATGGTATATTCAGGCCACTTCTCGCCCCTCGGCGCCTACCACAGCGGCTCGGACAGCGTGCTAGTTTTGGACGTCGCCCGCTTCAAGTACCCACCCCACTGGGTCCCGTTGCGTACCCTGCACGAGGCGATGGCCACCGAGGACCCCTCCACCCAGCAGAATCGAGGTAGTGCGCCAGAGACCTTTGATCGATGGTTTACAGCACCCTACAGTGCAGGTGATTACAAATTACAACTCAAGAGGATGAATTAAAATTTTGAAACAAATTTAGGCCACCTCGTGCTGTCGCTACGAAGCGAGACGCGTCCATTGGTGGTATTTGGACTGAGGACTACGATAGCATGCAATGACGCTCATGTGAGTGTGAATAAATTTTGGGTATATTCGGTGCTTTTGCATTATCGGGGAGGGGCAGCGAATTTTTTCTGGTAGTGCAGCAACTCCTAATAATGTAATCTTAAGGTCTGATAGTATTTTTTTTAGTAAATTCAACGATATTTTAAATGGAAAAGCTCTCGAACATTTTTGGAAAATTTGAAATTTTGCACGTTGGCGATTTGTGATTGAAAAAACGATATTCTTTAACTTTTTCGGATAAAAAGTGTTAGTGGTAATGTAAAATAGTAAACCTTATAAAGTGATATTTTAGTTTGCCGAATCAGTGGTGAGCTGGCGTGAATTTCTACGAGAAGCCCCAATGGCCGAGGACGCAGACGAATGGGTGGTAGGTCAAAAGACGTTTTTGGCAGTTTTTGGTTTTAGGTTGTCTGCCGCCGATTCCTCCAATGCTTTTCCGGACACGCGATGACGTGCAAGGGAATTGAGGCTTGTTGCAGGGTAGGTGGCAGGGTTACGGTAAAAAGCACAACTTTTAGAATGGGACAAAAGCGACGGAAACTGATGAGATGGCCGAGTGTTCGTTGAAGATTTGCCGGGAAATCAGACAGACCCATGTTGCCCAGCTGACGATGAGCAGTGCCGTGGCAGCGCTGATGTTGGCCTGGCCCTATCAGGTTGGTAGGGATAGTTTGCAGAGATTCTTGGTGAAAATGAGGTAAGCTAGAAAATTTTCTTTGAGATTCGGAGAGGCTAGCAGAGATTTTTGAGGAACCGGGTAAGCTAGCGGTGATTTTTGAGGAACGAGGCCACGCTACCAGTTAATTTTGAAGAAGTTGGGGCAGCTAGCAGTGATCCTTGGGGAATCTAGGCTATCGGCAGAGATTTTTGAGGGATTAGGGCAAGCTAGCGGCGATTTTTCGGGATTTGATCAAAAGCTAGCAGAGATTTTGGCAACTCGAAGCAAGCTAGCAGAGATTCTTAGGGAGTCTGGAGGCCAGCCGAGAACTTTGGAGAATTTGGGCGATCTAGCAGAGGTTTTCAGACCGATTTCTCAAAGCGATCCACGCGACTCCACGACTACTCGCTCGAATGGCTAAAATCTGTCTCCGAGGACACCAGAAATGAGATCGCGGTCCTCCAGGAACAAATTTCCACGATGATCGAGTGCACAAAGCCCGTGCCCAAGTTTTAGAACTATTTTTAGCAAACCTGACGCCTTAAAAATACGTACATTTGATGTTTTTCGCAATTTATGCAAGTTATCAAATCCTGGTTTTTTCGGCGATTTTTAAATTTCAGGGTCCACGCCTGGGTATCGCAATAAGGCTTTACTTTTTCACTTTAAGACGTTTAACTTCAAGTTTTCGGGTGAAAAATTGTTTCAGACATTTTGGTTTGTGATTTTCACACTTTTTAAGATGTTTTGCGCTTTTGACAGGTTTTACAAATTTTTAATAATTATATATAAATTTCAGGCGTTATTATTAAAATGGACTTTTAAGGTTTTGATTTGCGTTTTAAAAAGCGCTAGAACATAAAAATAGTGTTTTGAATTTTTGTTTGTGTTTTTAGCAACTTTTAGACCTTAAAAGCATCCAAAAACTTATTACATTTTTTCAGGTTCAAAAGATTTTTATAACTGTATTTTTATGTAATTTGATTCCAAACATTTGATAAACATTTATTCCATCCTCTATCGCTCTGTAAACACATATATAACATTTCAATTAGTCGGGGGAAAGCCTCAAAAAATGACACAAAAAAAACAAGATAAAAGACAAAAATTAAAACACGGGGCAAACACGCGGGGGTTTTTTGGGGGTTGCGCAGCGTACTGGGGCGGAACCACATCACAAATATGTAAAAAATCAAATATAAAGTGTACACATAAAAATGCTACGTTAAATGACTATATACGATTTAGGGGGCATGGTCTGAATGGCATTTTAAAGGGACGTTGAAGTCAAAAATCTACCCCTTCCCCTACTAGGTCTCGACGCCTACGCAAAGCGCCAAACCACGCATAAAAAACCGTATTTTAGCGTGTAAAGTATCTGACGATACCCAGTGAGACCAGGGGGTCGATTCTCGCACTTCCTCGTCCCTTTAAAGCACCGTTTAAGCCAAATATTTACGATAAATGGTGCCACATTTGTAGTATGTACCCTGTAGTCCCAAAATTGGGCCTCCGGAAGCAAAAATTTGCGGAATATTTTTGGAGCAATTTCTACCGTACTAGCGCCAACACCACGCTACTGTAAACTCTTTCTCAGGGCCTGTAATTGGGGAAATTAGCACAAAAAAACAGCACGAAAAATCAGTAGAAAAAGTGGACTTAGAATGTGTGTGGTTTCGGACGGAAAACAGGGCGAATTGAGCTGAGTGATCAAGGGACAAGCAAGTGGCATCGTTATTACGGTAATTAGGGGGTGGGATATAAGGGTCGCGGGTCGTGAAAATGGGTTTTAAGGGGACTGGCAAGTCTGGGGAATTTTGGAAGTAACTCTAAGCCTAAGCCTAAGCCTAAGCCGAAGCCTAAGCTAAGTCTAAGCTAAGCCTAAGCTAAGCTTAAGCTAAGCCTAAGCTAAGCCTAAGCTAAGCCTAAGCTAAGTCTAAGCCTAAGCCTAAGCTAAGTCTAAGCCTAAGCCTAAGCCTATTTGAGCCTATCCAATACTTGCCAGTCCCTTTAAAACCCGATTCATGGATTTCGGGGGTGGGTGCGGAAAGCTCTGCGTTGTACTAGCATCGGTTTTGGAGATTTAGCGGATCGATTTTGGGGGTAAAAGAGCTAGGGAAATTGGTATTACCGTATTCAGCAATTTCCGAGATGCAACGGATTACGGTAATGTTCCAATTCCCCTAAATAAAGGGGCAAGCTATAGAAAACAGTCGGGGGGGCTACTCGGAGGGTTTCAGGAAATGCCGAATGGACGCCTCGATCCTCTGCCGGTGGGCGATGCGGGTGACGCCAAGCTGTGTGAACTGGGATCGGTCCATCCGGTGGAGGGCACGACCGTCGACTCCGGCACGACTCCACATCGCCACGTACTCGCTGAGTTCTGGAAAGGGAACGATTGCGCCCTCTCGCTCTCTTTCTCTCTCCTTCTCTCTTTCTCCGTCTCTCTCGCTCGCTCTCTCTCTCTCTCTCTCTCTCTCTCTCTCTCTCTCCTTACCGAGCGCATGGAGCCACTGCTGGACGTCGTGGCTGCTCCACGCCATCAGACTCTTCGCTGAGAACGGCCGGCCGTCGTGTGGCGCCCCTAAATTGAAAAATAAATAAATTTCATTTTTTTCAGGTAGAAAAAACTCGTGCTCAACTGGTGAGGATGTTAAAAACCAGGGGATCAAACCAAAATTAGGAAGGGCGAGTAAGAGTTCGGTTTACGGTTTCACGCTTCTTTTGCAATGGCAAATGGAGCTTCAAGTGCAGCATTTATCGTTCTCCCTTGCTCTCTCTCGCTCTCTCTCTCTCTCTCTCATTCTCTTTCGCTCTCCCAGTCTCCCTGATTCGCCATGTGTCGCCTCGCGCTTTCGCCCGCTCAACCTTCTCTCTCTCTCTCTCTCTCTCTCTCTCTCTCTCTCTCTCTCTCTCTCTTCTCTCTCTCGCTCTCTCTCACTCTCTCTCTTTCTCTCTCTCTCTCTCTCTCTCTCTCTCTCTCTCTCTCTATTTCTGTCTCTCCAGCCTCTAATCAAATTCGAAAATATTAGCAAAAATGTGATTATGGTGCGCCCGGAAATGAAAGGGTGTTTTTAAGTGGGTGGGGGTGCAGTTTTCTAAAGCATGACCAGGCTACCGTACCCTTCGGATCGTCGCTGTTGTCGCTGTCGCCGTGGCCCGAGTCATCGTAGTCGACCGGGGGCAGGGCGGGAGCCGACGACGTCGACAGCGACGAGGTGACAGACATCTGAAGGGGTGCATGCACGCAAAGTAGGCTTACGATGCTTAGGCTTAGGCTTGGGCTTACGCTCTGGCTGAAGATTAGCTTAAGCACTGACTTAGGCTAAGGCTTGGGCTTCACTCGGGCTTCGCTTAATTACTAAGGCCACTGCTAAAGCTTAGAGTTGAGGCTTATCTTAGACTTAGCTTAGGTCTTAGCTTGGGCTTAGGCTTAGGTTGAGGCTTAGCGTGTCTTAAGCACAGCTCAGCTTCAGCCAAAATATGCTAAAAATCGACGTTTCTTGATTACGGTGGCCAGGGCGCGCTTTAGAAAACGGCAACCATCTAATAAGCAACAGAACGACACCCGAGGTATTAAAAATGGCACGAAAATTAGGCATTTAGGCAGAGAAATGATAGACAAGGGGGAGGGAGGGCTTGAAAAGGATACGGTAAAGCGGTTGGGGTACGGTAGCCGTCTAAAAAGTGTCCCAAAAGCACTACAGAGCCCGCTGTGGGGAGGGTCCCAGTTAGTTGAGGAAGGGATTTCCCAATAAAGACCGATTTTAAGGCAAAAAATTGTTGGTTTAAAGAGACCGGAAAGTCAGTAAAAAATAGAGGTCGGGGTACTGTAGTTTGTTTGAAAGCTCGGAATTGATAGCTTTTTGACTTCCCGGTCCCTTTAAAAGCCAAGAAACGGTAGAAAAATCCCTACAAGACCTCAAAACCTACCGTATCCGCGGCTCTTCGGCTCCCGTAGTTGTCCTCGATCGATTGGCTGATGATTTGGACCTGGGATTTAGATTTTAATTTCGGGTTTGAGGTATTTTCTCTCTCGCGCTCTCTCTTCCTCTCTTTCTCTGTCTCTCTATCTGTCTCTCTCACTGTCTCTCTCTCTCGCGCGCTCAGTCTCTCTCTCTCTCTCTCTCTCTCTCTACCTTATGATTGCTGCCCGGGGAATCGTGATGGTATGCCTGGCCCTCGCTATGTCCATAGTGGCCAGCGTCAGCTTCTGATGGTTCTAGCGACGTTCTTGAAGACGTATATCTGAAATAGTCATAATGTATAGATTTCGTGAGCATAAGCCAAGCCTAAGCCTAAGCCTAAGCGAGCCAGCTAGATACCCACCCGCTATCCTTCTTATGCCCAATTCCTGGTGGCGAGTGTTGTTGTGGCGTCTTCTTAGCCGTCACGGTTTCTCTGACGGATTCTCGAAGTGATAGACCCCCAAAACGAGCACTCCCATCGCTGTCTGTTCGTTTGTCATCCTCCTCGTCCTCTTCTTGCACCTAGAAATATTGATATTTAATTCAATGCTCCCTCTCCCTCCCCCCTCTCCGCTCTCTCTCTCACTCTCTCGCTCGCTCTCTCTCTCTCTCTCACCTTGCTTCTCCGCTTGGCCAACGCATTTCTGAGGTCCATCTGAAAATCCGGCTTTCCGCCCGCCCCAGCCCCGGCGGCTTTCGTTGGCCGCTGCTCGTCGCGCCGCGTCGCATCGGCGCCGTTTTGTCGGGTTTGGAGCTTGAAGGCTTGGGCCTGGAAAAGAGGAGTTGAAGCTCATCAGGAATCTCTGCTATTTGGTCTCAGCTTGGGCTCTACTTTCCCTAAGAGACTCTGCTATCTCGCAATTTTTGAGTTTTATGCCTTTTCCTCATAGATCTCCGCTAGCCTGTCCCAACCGTATTCCTCAAGAATCCCTGCTGTTTCCTCAGTTCTTGCTTACCTTCAGTGCATCGGCGGTAATCCCAGCTTTCGCCAGCGGTGTTTCATTACTTTTCGAGCTCGACGGCGTCATTAGGTCTGGAGGTGGTGGTGGAGGGGGAGGGGGCGGGGCCTAAATTCGTATCTAAACGTAAAAAGGAAAAAAACGGACATTAGAACTCGTCGGCGCGGGTCTTGAACTTAACGCCGACGGGGGCGGGGGTGGGGGAGGGGGAGGAGGCGGTGGAGGAGGAGCTGCAGCCACGCCAGGTGGTGGTTGTGAGGAGGGGCCGGGCCGCATACTAAAAAAGTTGTGAGTTTACGTATTTATTACCATAGGGTACGTTTGCGTACGTAAGTGTACGTATCTACGTCTATTTTGCGTAAAGAAACGTACTTTTGCTGCTGGTGCCCGGGCACGTGGATTACGGAGGCGCCAGGCGGGTGGTGCCCGTTTTTCGCGTAGATTCCTTGGCTTGCGTAGATGGTGTTCTGGAAGAGGTTTTGTTAAGAAAAGCTGACGAAGCTTAAGCTAAGTCTAAGCTAAGCCTAAGCTAAGTCCAAGCCTAAGCAACCCAAAAACCCACATTATTCTGCACGATGTGGCCATAGTGGCTATGTTGGGGGGCTTGGTAGATCTGGGCGGGTGGCGCATAGGGGCTGCTGTAGCGCGAGCCGGTCATGGTGCCCTGGAAATTGGAGGTTGTAGTTTGGAGCCCATAGTTGTGGTTGTGCTACGGCTACAAAGTACATCCAACAAAACCGTCAGTGCATTAATGGGTTGAGAATTTCGGGGGTTGTGGCGGTGATTGGGAGAACTCAACGTGGTGATGGCATTCGGAAACTTAGGGGTTTTTTTGATGATCGCTCCTTCTGTCTCTCTGTCTCTCTCCCTCTCTTTCTCTCTCTCTCTCTCTCTCTCTCTCTCTCTCTCTCCTTTCTCTCTTTCTCTCTCTCTCTCTCCCTCTCTCTCTGGCTCTCTGTCGTTCTTTCTCCTTCTATCTCTCATACCTCTCCAGGCGGTGGTGGAGGTGGCGTCTTCGGTCTTGAAGTCGGCCGGAAAGGTCGAGAATAATCCGAAGGGTCCCGGATGGATCCCCTCGGGTCTCGCGACGCGCAGCTACCGTAGTCAGGTTCCGGCGGAGGGGGCAGAGGGCCATGCTAAACACGAGCCACGTGCACACCGAGTATTTTAGGGGGATAAATAGGGTCTACGAAACACTACGGGCGAGTACTAAGGACAGTCCATGCCTCTGGGCGATTTTAAAGGGACCGACAAGTCCGAATGGACTTCTGGGGGTCTTTAAAACCACATAAAAAAATTAGAACCAATCGGGGGAAGCTTAGAAAATTTAGAAAAGACCCACATCATCGTACTGGGCCATGTCGGGCGCGGAGGAGAAGGACTTCATCGCCGGCGAGCCGTAGATGGGCTCTTGGTTCTGGAAATAAGAATATTTTTGAGGTCGAGGCCTATGCTACAAAACAAGCTACAAACCACACATGGAACTGAACAAAAAAAATAGCTGATCGGCTATAGCAAAGAAAAGACTACAAACAGCTGGAAACAGCTTGAAAATAAAGTAAACCTAAAAAAACCAACACCTAGACTGCTATAAGTTAAACTACAAGCCACATTATCAGGGAGACTACAAACTACACTGTCAGCTAGACTAAAAAGCCCACTATACTACAGACTACAGATTACGTGATAAAACAGACGACAAACTACATTCTTGGCGAGACTACATAAGGCACTAGGAGGTAGACTACAAACTACACCATGGGCTAGACTACAAGGTAGACTACAAACTACAAGATAACACAAACTGCAAATTAAATAAAACGTGCTAAGAAAGATACTAGACTACAACCTACAAACTACCCTAAATCTCGGCTAGACTACAAACTACACACTAACCACTACAAAATACGTGCTAAGATAGACTACAAACTACAAAAAACCTACCATCATCATGAACTCGGCACGACCGGGCTGCGGACTATCCACCGATCGTTGATTTTTCCGCCGCTTCAGGTCCGCGACGGAAGTGAACTTTTTTGGTTGCCGATCGCCGCACAGGGATTCCTGGAAAAATCATGAATTGAAGTTTTATTAGCTCAAGCTTAAGAAAACGAAGTAAAACTGGGTCGAAGCCATGTACCATAGCCCTAAATTGACCTGAACTGCTCGAAGTCGTTACCTGATCATAGCTCTGGTACTGCTGCGGTATCGGATGCCCATTCTGGCGTACCATCAAATTCTCCAACTCGGCGGCAGATATTCTTCGAGAGCCCATCGGCCGATTCCGGACCTGGAAAATCGATTGTGAAACATTTTGACGATTTTAGCCAGTTTTTCCGCATTTCAATGCCTATTTTTTACGTTTGATTGTGTAAATGGGTGTCACTGTGCCTTTAAAAGGCAAAAAACGTACCGAAGCGGTCCTTGGGGCGTAGTACTCCTCGCGGATGTCCCCTAAAAATGAGGAATTTCACGAGAAAAAATAATTCTTATTAACGACCACCACTTTTGACCAAAAATCGATATTTTTACAAGAAGCAGGAACGATTACGGTAGATGCGGAATATGGTAATTGGGGATTGATGGATTACGGTACGATATTGACGGTACTTGAGGGATTACGGTGGCTTTGGATTACGGTAATCCGAGTCTAAGCTCAAGCTTAAGCCTAAGCCTAACCTCGGCCTAAGCCTAAGCCCCAGGCGAAGCCAAGCCTATGCTTAAACCTAAGCCTAGACCTAAGCCTAAGCCGAAGCCAAGCCTAAGCCTAAACCGGTAGCCTGAGAACCGAGGGAGGGACGATTACGGTATTTCCAGGTTTGCATATTATCAGATTCCATCATGCAAAGCAGGGGGACCAGTGGGTACGCGACGATACTTTGCACATTTTCTACCGTACCCGGCCACCCGACGACCGAATGGACGGACGCGCGGCGGCTGGTCAGAGATTGGGCGCCTGTGAAGAGGACGCGGCCAACTGAGAGAAAAAACAGAAAGTCAGGCAATTTTCGGGATATATACGGTAGATTAAGGTAGAAATACAGCATATAATACGATATAATACCGTATGAATACAAGTGTAAACAGTAAAAGACGTACCGGAATGATGCCGCCTTGCGACGATGGTGCCGGTGCCGGGAAAGGGTTGGCTTGGGTCGACGGTAATGACCTAAAAATACGCATATCGATAGATTTGGCCTTGGCTTAGGTTTAGGCTTTGCTTAGGCTTGGCTTAGGCTTAGCTTAGCTTAGACTTACCTTAGGCTTTGTTAGCTTAGGCTTAGTTTAGGCGTGGTTTCGGCTTACCTTTAAAGTGATAGTATCCCCGGCCTGCTGGATGAGGTGAACGACTTGATCATGACTGGCACATCGCACGTCCACACCGTCGATTTGGAGCAGGAAATCGCCGGGTCGGAGGCCTAAAAGTAAGGGATGAGAGAGAGACGGTGAGAGAGGGAGCGAGAGCGAGAGAGAGGGCGAGAGATTTCGAAAAACTCACCAGCTTTCATGGCCATTCCGCTCATGTCGACGCCTTCGAAGAATTGGAGCGCAGGCTGGAGGGCTGAGGGGTGGAAGTCCATCTCGGCGTCAACATCTACAAGTTCAGGGGTTTAAAGGGAGCGTGACAGCAGGAGAGAGAGAGAGAGAAAGAGAGAGAGAGCGGGAGAGAGGGGGAGTGAGCATCAACTGTAAGAAAAGACTTACGCTTTGCTCCTCGCAGAATAAAGCCGAAACCCTTTGGACCTCTGGGGATCACGAGAATCCGCGGCACATTGCATCTAAAAAATAGGTTTGACTTAGTTTATGCAATTGATGATTTTCCATGTTTTCTCGTTTCTTAAGCTCGTTCAAATACCGTTAAAATACCTTGAATAATTTTTAGGTAGGATTTTTAAAATTTTAAGTGGGTATTTATGCATTAAATCTTTCAAATTTAAATTTAAATTTCAATTTTAAATTTACTAACAGCGCGTTTCCCATGATAAATCGAATAGGAGATTGCAGCGGGTAAATATCTCGCATCTCATCCGAAAATACCACTTTTCGCGCGGTTGGTGTACGGTAGATCGGGGAAATATTGGATTTATGAAGCCAGGGTGGCATTTTGACGGAATTCCTTGGAATCTCTAGTTCAGAAGCTGATGATCAGAGCACAAGCCGAGATCTTCAGCTCCCTTGGGATGTCAAGAGGAGCGCAGCGTCGTCACGGCCTTGGGGCCGATTTTTGAGTGGCACTCCCCTGGAGGGGGAGGCGGCTAATGGAGCTGGATCCTGTCAATGCCAGGAAATCGCACCCCGCATCGGCTTCTACTTTTCATAGTGGATTGGACAGTTTTTTTGAGGGCTGCGACTGGGATTGGCAGTGGTCATTGGGGAAATCGAGAGCAGGCAAGGAGAGAGCATTAGAGAAAGAAACTAAAAATGCCCCCTAAACTAATACATCAGGCAGGTTAGCAGAGATCATTTAGAAAATTTCTGAAAGTTGGAACAACCCAAAAAAATCAGGGCCGGCTGGCGGGAATCATTGAGGAACGTTGGAGAAAACTTGAGCTCCAGAAAAATTGGGGAACTTAGCAGAGATTATTTCAGGTTTTGCTAACCCCTTTAAACCCCGAAAATCCCTGAAAAACACACTCATGCCCTCCGCCTCCCGAAGAGACATGATCGGGCGCGAAGCGGCGTAGGGTGCCGTATTCCGAAGGGACGATGGTGGCTCGGGAGGGAGTGGGAGAAGGTGCCATGGATGGAGCACGACTGCCGTGGCCTCGGATTGAGGGGGAGGCTCGGTACACCTGGAAAGAATATTGCTGGGAAGCTTTTTGGGGTCAAAGTTGTGCTCAAGAAGTTGGCTAAAATGAACCCAAACTCACATCATGACTCGCCAACGACGACTGGGAGAGTGATCTTCTTCTCGAGAGCGTCGAAACAGACACCCGTCTTCTTGTCGAATATTGTGGTGTCCCGCGGTAGGGTACTGTAATTGGGTGGGGTTTCAGGGACCTAAAAAATTCTTACCAGCCGTATGGGGATCGTGGCCTTGGATGACGTCAGCCACCGCCGCAGATCCGACGATATGGGCGACATGGAGCGCTGTTTGGCCTTGTTTATTCGCTGTTAGATGGTTGGCACAGCGGAAGAGGAGCACTTTTGCACATTCAGGACTGAAAAAAGAGGAATTATCTCTCTCACTTTCACTCTCTATATCTCGCTCGTTCTCTCTCTCTATCCCTCTCTCACTCTCTCGCTTTCTATACTACGAACCGATTATTCACAGCGCAGACGTGCAACGGCGTATTTCCATTGACGTTCTCCGCATCGACGTCACCGCCATAGTACAGGAGATGCTCAACGTGTTTGACGAGTCCGTTTTTGCATGCCTGGATGGTTGGATTACTCTGGATCTCTCTCGCTTTCTCGCTCTCTCTTCTCTCTCTCGCTCTGTCTCTTTCTCTCGCTCTCTATACCTGATGAATCTCATGGTTCCCATGCATGTCCGTCACGCCCATATCGGCCGCCTCGCTGAGCAACATCTGGGCTACCAGATCATTGCTGTCCGTCGTCAGCATGTTGTAGTACAACGGCGTCAAGCCGATCGGGTCCCTGGAAAGGAATTTAAAATCCTCTCTCGCTTCCTCTCTCTCTCTCTCTCACTCTCACTCTCACTCTCCCGCTAGACCCACCTGTAGTTCGGAGACGCCCCCAACTCGAGCAACGTCTTCACATTCTCCACCGACGAAAGAAAAGCGGCCTTATGCATGGCGGTTTGGCCCTCAGAATTTCGGAAGTCGATGTGAGCACCACCTCCGACAAGCGCGAGCAGCACTTTTCGGTTGTCTGGAACCCCGGCCGCGAGGGTCAACGGGGTTTCACCGGCGGCATCGTGGAAGTTGGAGTCGAGGCCCTGAAAAAAGGGCATAGTCAGAGAGAGAGAGAGAGAGAGAGAGAGAGAGAGAGATGGATAGATAGAGAGCAAGCGAAGTTCATCCTCACCTGCGTACACATCTTCTCCACCTTCTCCGCATTCCGATTTTGCACATAATCCATGAACTTCTTCAGGTTGGCCTTTGTATGAAGCCCCTTCAACTGCTTCTCGTCGAGGTTCAACATCTTGTAGACGCGCTTCTTGAATTTTAGCTGGAAAAAAGGATTTTTAAGCGAAGAATGGAAGAGCTTACTTCTAGATACGGTACGCAGTCGTGGAAGGGGTAGTCGCGTACGGGGCGGTCTTCTAGCAGGAATTTCCCGGCGCGACCATCGCATGGGGGGAGGAAGAGGCCGTAGTTGAAGGCTTGGGGAAGAGCCTGAAATGGAATGGCTCTCGCTCTCGCTTTCTCACTCCCAATCTCTCTCTCTCTCTCTCTCTCTCTCTCTCTCTCGTTCTTACCTGTGGAAGTGTGGCAAGCAACTTCCGCTTAACGTCCCAAACGAAGTCTTCCAGCGACACCGTCAGGCACTTCTGAAAAAAAGAGGCTTATTTAGTGTATTTGGAAGCGTCACCTAATAGCAGCAGGCTCGCTGAGGTTTTTGGGGAAACAAAACTGGTGGGTTGGCAAGCTAGCAGAGTTTTTTTAGGATTTCTGACATGAAAGCTAGCTCGCAGAGATTCTTTAGGAAATTCAGGCCTGTGGTAAGCTAGCAGAGGCTCTTCAGGAGTATTTTAGTAACTGGCTGATCGAGGGCAGGCTAGCAGGGGTCCCTTAGGAAACGACAAAGGTCGACTAGGCTAGCAGAGAATTTTTAGGAATTGAAAACAGCCAGGGCAAACTATCGCAGAATATATGGGAAAAGAAAAAAATAAGGCCAGCTAGCAGTGGTTCTTTAGGAATTGAAAATAGTCAGGGCAAACTAGCACAGATTCTTTGGGAAACATGACCTTGAAAGCGAGCTAGCAGAGAATTTATAGGACATAAAAAATGCAAAAACACTACCAAACAATCCTAGTCCCGGGATCAAAGGGATACGGTAGCTTTCCGAGCGAAAGGCGAGATAGCAGAGATTTCTAGGGAAATGCAAAATATACAAAAAGTACGGGATAACCCTAATCTTCCCATAGGAGATACGGTAGCATTCCCATGGAATGCCAGTGTTTCGGCTGGGAAACAATGGCTCTGCAGCTAGTGTGAGCTTTGAGGGGGGTAGTGGTGTTGGGGTGGGGATCGGAGCGTGTCGTACATGTTCCCATCCACCCTCCCCCTATAATTCCTTCACTCCCCCCTCTTTGCCCCCTCGACTGTTTGCAGCTTAAGCCCCCCACCCCAGAGCCCCTACCACCCAGCTTCACCATGGAACCAGGCCCCCCAGCTGGCCCACCGCACCAAAAACCTCGGTAATTTTTGGTCTTAGAGGCACAGGAAAGTCACGGGGTACGATCATTACTTCTAAAATCATTACTTCTAAAATCATTACTTCTAAAAATCGTTACTTCTAAAAACGTTACTTCTAAAATTTGGTATGCCGGATTACCAGGTTTTCGGCATATTTATGCCCAAAACTACGCTTAGCATTTTAGAAGTAACGACTTTTAGAAGTAATGATTTTAGAAGTAATGACTTTTAGAAGTAATGATTTTAGAAGTAATGATTTTAGAAGTAATGATGGGTAGCCGAAAGTCACGACTATGGATTTTTTGGCAATATTTTGTGGGTAACTTTGATCTTAAAGGGACTCGAAAGGCTGGAAATGGCATGGCATACGGTAGTCACTACACGGTTCTACGTCATTAACAGGGGGAGGCAATTTCGAGCGTTTCACTAAACCCCTGCCCCCCCCGCTAACAAGCTAGCACTAGAAGCCAAAAAACTTATTTTTTTTTACTTAATGGGACTCTCCAGCTCTCCCGCTCTCTCTCTCTCTCTCTCTCTCTCTCTCTCTATCGCCCTCTCTCGCTCTCTCTTTCTCTTGCTCTCATTCTCTCACTCTCACGCTCAATCCCTGCCTCTCTCCCTCCATCCCTGGCTGTCTCGCTCTCATCCCCCTCTCTCTCCCTCCCTCCCTGTCTCTCTCGCTCTATGTCACTCTCTCTCTCTCTCTCTCTCTCCATTTCCGGTTCCTGACTATACACAAATCGTTAAGCCCAGAAAAGGGAGGCGGAGAAATTATCGAAAACTCGAGTTTTAAGCCGGGCACGCCAAAACAAGCGGATAATCCCGAGTCGTCGCGCCCCACTATACAAAAACTACTTCTCTATACTCTGTCTCTATTGATCTCCAGTTGATGCTCCACCTTTTATTGAAAAGGTTAAGCCAATATTTTGAGGCAAACTACTCAAGAGGTGAGAAGGGTAAACAAAACAACTTTGAAATGGCCGTTTGGGCGGATCGAGTTACAAAAACAACACGAGAACGGCGTTTTGTAAATCAAAACAAAATATTTTGGGGGATAGGGAGGCTAGCAGAGATTTTTTGGGAATTCCTGGTAGTCTGGAAAATTGGGAAACCAGGGGAGAGTATTTGGGAAGAAATGGATTTCTGGGTTTTGGCAAGTTACGGCATTCTTTGAGAACCTTTCTGGTTGCCTCCCTTTAGGAAACCGAACTAAAAAATAAAATAAAAAGCAAAGTTAGGCAAGCTAGCAAAAATCTTAGAGAAATGGACTGGCATGCTCCCTTTAAATTGTTATGACTTCCGGGCTAGCTAGCAAATTTCCTTGAGGAAATCGGCTGTCGCTCTTCCTTTAAGATGCTAAGAAATCCCCGGAAAACTAGCAGAAATTCTCAAGGAATCTAGCTGGCACACTCCCATTAAAATGCTTTTGGATGCCAAGCAATCTAGCTAAGATTTTTGAGGAAACCACCGCTGTCCCGCTTCCTTTAGAGGGTGATGAAATGACAGGCAAGCTAGCAAAGACCTTTGAGGAATCCGTTGACGCATACCAGCTAATAAAAGTTAAAACAAATATGCAAATCCGGATCGCAGAACGCCTTTGTGAAGTGTGGCGGATCTGCTTCTTCCCCCCCATTGACACACTTCATCTCAATCCACCCCCTCTGGCCATTCCGCTTCTTTCCAAATGACAGCTCCGGGGTGGAGAGAGAGAGAGAGAGAGAGAGAGAGAGAGAGTGAGAGAGACGGGGGGGGTACTTCTTGTATAAACAAATGGTGCTCGGGGTATGGGGGATAGTCAACTAGTCAGTTAGCTGTCAATCTAGATGGGGTACTGATCAACAACAATGAGGCGGGGGCATTAAATGGAGTGTGACAGGTAGCTGTTGCTCCGATAATTTTAACACTAGCATTTATGAGCAATCAGCGTAAGCTACAATTGGCAAAAAGCCAACCGATTACACTGCACAATGCGGGGAGCATCGGGTAATCTAGTTTTTCCTCAAGAATCTCGGTTGAGATTCTTGAGGAAAAACTAGATTACCCGATGCGTGAGTGGTTCATGGAAAACGATCGATAAAGCGTAATAATGCAAAATATAAAAACACTCGACTCACCCTGACTTGTATCTCGGGGACGAAAATCTGAATGGAGAGCAGATCGTCCTCATCCTCCACGCTCATCCTGGCGAGCCGGATGAGGATCGGGGGGTGAGGAACACCTGGGGGAGAAGGAGATGGAGCTTCTGCAAAAGGATTACGGTAATTGGTTATAAAGTACGATTGAAATATCAAACTAGAAAGTAGAGAAAAATGAAAAAATAAAAAAAAACACTACAAAAAATTACGGTAATTGATTCAGGCCCGAAAAGGAGTTCCGTCAAAAAAAGCACGAATAGCAGGCTAGTGACTACGAACCAATATGAATTTCGACATCGTAATTTGGAGTAGTGCGGAATAAAGCGGTTTTTTTCGGAAAACGTCGGTTAAAGCAAAAAAAAAGGAAAAACATGGAATTAGCATACGAGGGGAACGCGGTTTAGGGCTTTAGCGAACAGAGTACAGGAACAGAAATCGAAGAAAAGATCAAAAAGTGAAATGCGAGAATCCTTGTGGTGGAGGCAAGTCAGCAGTGATGCTTTGAGAATTTAGAAAAGTGGATGGCAGGTTAGCAGCGGTTATTTGAAATTCCTATTAGTGGCCAAGAAATCATTGACGAGAGAGAGAGAGAGAGAGAGAGAGAGAAAGAGAGAAAAAGAGAGAGAGAGAGAGGGAGAGCGAGAGAGAGTGAGACAGAGACATGGCGAGAACCTCAAAGAAACAAAACTCGTTGCCGATCTCCCCGGCAAAAAACACGATATCTGGGAATAGCGATCAGTTCGGGTGACCGGTCCCATTTATCCAAATTCACTAGCTCCTCGCTGCCAAGGGGAGATGGATTGACGACAGAATGTAGAGACGAGTTCTTGAGAGACAGAGAGAGAGAGCGAGAGAGAGAGAGAGGCGATCATCTCGGCCAATGCCCTCACGGCATAACCATTCTTTTCTGACGAGTCTATCAGAAACCGGGGGAACACGAAAACTACCCCCGGGGGGTCAGGTGAGAAGAAGCCATGAAAAACGGCATGGGAACACGGCAGAGGGCGAGGTGAGAATGTTTAAAGGGGGTGTGACATACAGGGGAAAATAGGGAGAGAGAGAGCGAGAGAAAGAGAGGGAGCGAGAGAGAGACAGAGAGAGAAGAATATGTACATAAAAAATCGAGGAAGCGGAGAAATCGAATATTACGCAGATTGCTTGCTGAATTTTTCCATTCCTAGTCGTTACGGCAGAGTCGTACAGTAGCGCAATGGAATAACAAGAATCCATTCCTCTCAAAAATGGAAATGATTTGAGGGTTTGAGCTTGGAAAGTGGGGCGAAATCCGGGGATTTTCACGAGGATTTTGGGTCTTAAGGCCGTGGAAAGGCCGGGCCCTTGACTACGCGCTGGGCGACGACCGAACATTCGGATATTGGTCACCATTTGTCAAGGTTTAAAGGGGGTGGAAAGTTAGAATTATAAGAGAGGGAGGCAAGAGAGAGAGAGAAAGAGAGAGAGAGAGAGAGAGAGAGAGAGAGAGCGCGTTTGAGTAGGTGAGAACGAGGCTGGCAAGAGTTCAGAGAAACAGAGAAATTGGCCACATGGGAAATTCGTTAACGCTGACTGATTTGTTGAGTCTACCAAGAGATCACCCTCAAAGCCCGCTCGTCCTCCCCGAACATCCCATTTTTGAGCGCCATCCGCCGCATTTTGAGGAGCAAGAAAGGCAATGAAAAATTCTGAGCATGACCGATCAACCGCGGCCCATTCAACAAGGATGGCCCGGGCTGCCCGGCCGCGGCTAACAAAGCCACCAGCCAATATTTCAGGGTTGGAAGCGATTTTTGAGAAGGCGGAAGGGTATTTAAACATTTGGAAAAAGTTTTGAAAATTATCGGCCTCTGCTCTCTCTCTCTCTCTTTTTCTCTCTTTTTCTCTCTCTCTCTCCCGCTCTCGCTTTCCTCAAAGCTATCACGTTCGCCAAAGAAAATTCAAATTCAAATAGCAGATCGTCCCTAGAGGTCCTCCGGAAATTTGAACCGTTTTCTCTCTCACTCTCTCTCTCTCTCTCTCGCTCTCTCGCTCACTCTCCCATCAGTCCATTTGGTGTTAATTGGGCAATTAGTGGGAAAATCAGCTGCGAAGGTGGTGGTGGGGGCGGCGCGGAATTTATGTTGCCGTTTGAATGGTGGAGGTGGGAGATATCTCTCTCGTTCTCTTCTCTCTCGCTCTCTCTCTCTCGCTCTCTCTTTCAAACTCTGAAAAACAAACGAGAACTCTTAAGCCTTCGCCTAAGATCGAAATCTTGGCGAATACGTGAAAATCTGGGAGAGCGAGAGGAGATAGGGAGAAAGACAGAGAAAGCGAGCGAGAAAGATGGAGAGTTAAGGCTAGCGATAAAAGAAATATCAATATTTACAGCTACCGAAAGCCTCAACCTCAAATTCGACCGATTTCCCGGCTCAAGAATGCTCTCGAAAAGTTTAAAGGGCCGAGCAAGCCAAAGCGGGGTGAAAAGCGGGCACTTTGGCTGAGGGGGGAATAATGGGCTGAAGGGAAGGCGGTGGGAGGGGAGATTGACCTTGGCCTCCAAACCGTCATTTCTGGAGAGAGAGAGAAAGAGAGAGAGAGAGAGAGAGAGAGAAAGAGAGAGAGAGAGAGACATGGACAACAATAACCAGGTCTGCAGGCCCCAGATGGTTTTCACCCGGCACCTGTACCACCACACAGCCAGCCGGCCGGCCCTTGACTTGAAAACCGAACTTCCCCTGCAAAACTACCAGCAACTGGCGGGGTTTGGGCTGGACGTGAGCCTAAGCCGAAGCCTAAGCCCCAATCGAAGCCTAAGCCTAAGCCCAAGCCTAAACCTAAGCCTTGAAAGCTACAAGACCGGCCAACTGTTTCATGAAATTGAAATGCATGGATGCCATTCGGAGAAATTCGGGAAAATCCTGCCCGGCCCGGCTTCATGTTTTGACGGCGGCTAACGGAACGTGGAAATGAAGGGGTGAGAGGGAATAGAATATTGAGAGCCGATTCACAAGTCGATTCATTCGATCGACTACGCGCGTGTACGCCATGACCAGGCCCGTAGGAGGGGCCCAGGGGGCCCTGGGCCCCCCCCGAAATCGGTCGAGGTCCGAAAAATTTATAAGGGGGGACCCTTATGATTTTTAGTTCCAAAAATTTTTCTGCCTGCGGCGCTGTTTATTACTGTTTTTCAAACAGTTTTTACTTATATGAAGCCTATTTTTTCAAAATTTTTTGCCTGCGGCGCTGATTTTTCATTGGAGAATCAAATGTTCATAAAAAATTTTCGCCTGCGGCGCGTTTTCTGTGGTGTTTTCACACGAATTTGAGTGTAGCAAACGCTTTTTTGGCTATTTTTGCCTGCGGCGCTATTATTGACGCGATTTTCCGGATGTTTTAAATGTGGCGACCGAGGGGGGGGGGGAGGTCGCCAAAATTTTTGGGCCCCCCGAAATTTCGGTTCCGCTACGGGCCTGGCCATGACGAACGGCGGATGGGGCCGAAAGCTGCCGGAAAAGTTGGTGAAAATTGTTGCAAAATTCGAGAAAGAGAGATCGATAGAGAGAGAGAAAAAGCGAGAGAGCGAGAGAGAGAGTAATGGAAAATCGTAACGGTTACGAAAAAGATGAACGCTGAAAACTAGCGTAACCAACCGATTCGGACATAAAAATGGAAAAAGAAAATTTACCGCAATCCTGGAAAAAGATGCCATATTAAAATGTTTAATTTGAACTGATTACCGTACGAAAAACAGCCAAAAACACAGCCTCAATTTAGCACCGACAGCTAGGCTCAGGCTTGGCTTAAACTCAAGCTTAGACTGAGACTTACAAGGGAAGTGCACGACCGGCCCACGAGAAATCGACACGAGACATAGTCGATCTGATAGAATCGGACACGGGGATTCCGAATCTGCAATCAGAATTTGCTAAATAAAACGGAGAAAAAAGTTATGAAGCTTCAAAGTTGGCCAAATCGTCAAGAACAGTACCTTTAAGGACCCGTAAAAACCGGGGGAACGGAATTGAGGAGAAAAAAATTAGTACATCTTGTTCAGCAGAAAAAGAGCTTTCGAATGAGCTGTAATACGTACCATTTGCAAACAATTCACTGAAAAAAGTTTTTTTGGATTCACGGGCAAGGGTATGGCCTGTCAAGTTCATAGAAGAGATTTTCGCGAAATCATCGTAAACTTGAAGTAAGATAGCTCATTCGAAAGCGCTTTTTCTGCTGAACAAGATGCACTAATGGGTTGTGGCAAATTTCCATTCACTGGGCCTTTACATGCCCATAAAAGTCCGATTTTGGGCGATTTTGCCAACTTTGAAGCTTCATAACTTTTTTCTCCATTTTATTTAGCAAATTCTGATTACAGATTCGGAATCCCCGTGTCCGATTCTATCAGATCCACTATGTCTCGTGTCGATTTCTCGTGGGCCGGTCGTGCACTTCCTTTGTTAGCTTTACCTTATGCCTAGCTTGGGCTCGGCTTAGACTCAGGCTCAGTCTTGGCTTAGGCTTAGGCTTAGGCTTGTGCTCCTGACTCACAGCAAATCAAGGTGTTGGGACCGGACGTCTTAGGTTGGGTGAGGGGTGTGGATAGGTGCTGTCTGTAGCGGGCAAATAATAGAGGTAGAGGACGGGGGGGGGAAGGGCTGATAGCTGACTTGGCTACAAAACTGTGTTTTGTTTGGCCGGGGCAAACTTGGATGGGGGCGCGTGTCAAAAGGCGCCGCGCGTACCGGTTATGGGCCATTTTTGCCGGGTTTTTTTGGGGAGGCGCACTAACAAATATTGTAGAATGAGGAGGAGGGCAAGATAACGGACGCGCTCGGAAATCCGGTGGAAACTTGAGGCTGATGCCTGAAAAGAAATGGAAAAGTTGAGAAAATAGAAAAATGGTTTTCAAGGGATTTGGAAGTTAAACTAGACCCTCGGCAATATGTCAATTCACAATTTTTTTCCTTTCCAACTCCTTTAAAACGCCTCGCGAGCTTTTCAAAAGACGTTAAAGGCAAATTAGACTCCCTAGCAAGGACGAATTCCTCATTTTCGGTGTTTGTGGCGAGCTG